AATTTTTTTTTAATCTTATTAAAAAAAACATCTTTTTTTACTCCCTTGATCACTCTTTATTTCAAATTTGCTTTGAAGAAATGTACAAAAATATTCCTTGTTAACATGACCTAACTCATTAAATCGGGATCGTCTTCCAAAACCACCACTCTGTCCTTTTTATCTCTTGACCTTCATCATCAGCAGCCACTGTATATAAATTTATGGACCTTACATTGAACCTAATTATTGGATAAATAAGGTAAATTAAACTTTTTTGATTCGAACTATACAATATAAAGTAAAAGTTGATTTGATTTTATCGAAGCATCTATACAAAACTTGAGTCTAAAATCAAGGTTGTGTATTATCTGGTCAAACTTTTTAGTAACTCATGATCATCCAATGTTTTTCCTACCATAGAAGTTTTATAATACAATCCATACAATTTAAACTTATTTTTTCCCTTTTATTCAATGTTAACTGCATATTATGTAGCCCCCCCCCCCCCTTTTCCAGAAAACATCAGATTTTAAAAAATCTGAGAGACCTACATTATTGCAGCTAACACAACTTATATTCTACACATATACAAGCATGGCCTATATGGAAATTTAAAATACAGGGATTTTCCAGCCCTTATTCCGGAACGGGGCCCATACCCCCCCCCCCCCTCCCCACTTTACCGGGCAGTGGAATACATGTATTCTGTAATATTGTTTTAAAAATCCATAAATCAATTATCAGATGACCCTTACTAATATTAATAAATTGTTTTCATTATAATTAATGCATAAGCCTCGGACCCCGCCCCCCCCCCCTTTTTTTGGCAAAGAAAACATTTTTCCATCTCAAATTCTTTTCTAACTTCTCCAAAGCCTGGCCTAAATTTTATCTTTAACTTCAAAAGGAAACACCTTTAATTTTCATTCTTAGCTAACTCATTTTTTAAAACTGAAACATGTTAAACACCTATCATCTTAAATCTGGAACAGCTCTTTAAAAAAAAATTGGAAATATTTTATTAATGTTCTTGGAAAAGATAGAATTTAAAACTACTTTACTTGGAATTCTTTCTATGCCAATTTAGCAATAAATTAGAAAAGTCAAGAATAAAAGTTATTCCAACATCTACCCAGTTATCCTTCCCTTCTCTACATTACAACACTTACTCCTTTAGTGGAACCATAATTCTGAATGAGATTGTAGCTATTTCACATATCCCAAGCTAATTTCCCAAAAGTTCACAGATTAAAAGTCCCTGTTAAAAAAGTACGTAAGGGTTGCCCGCAACCCTGTGTCTCGCCTGCTGTCGCTGTGGTTAGTAAGAAATGATTGTCTGATAAACTGAAGCATTTATTGACATTTCAGAAGGAATAACTCAAAAATACAATAATAAAGAAATGGAACAGCTGACTTAATATCTAATCCCTTGGCGATTATATTGGCATTTATATATATATACATATACCCTGTAAATTCACAAATTATTGTGATGTTTTTATTATTGCGAATATTGCAACGTGTTATGAGTCGCAATAATTTGAACTTGCATTTTGAAATCAAATCCACTGTATATGTATCAAGTCATTCATGCAGAAAATGTAGGTGAAGATTACCTAATTATGGTACTGATATTGTTGGTTACCCATGATGTGTAGACTGACAAATTATCATGCCACTATAAGTTATAGTTGCTGAGATATGGACCTCCACCATAAATTTATGCAAAGTCACTCATGCGGAAAAATGTAGGTCAAGATGACCTAATTCTGGTACAGGCGTTTGTGGTTACCCATGATGTATCCACTGACAAATTATCATGCCACTATAAGTTATAGTTGCTGAGATATGGACCTCCACCATAAATTTATGCAAAGTCACTCATGCGGAAAAATGTAGGTCAAGATGACCTAATTCTGGTACAGGCGTTTGTGGTTACCCATGATGTATCCACTGACTAACTATCATGCCACTATAAGTTATAGTTGCTGAAATATGAACCTCCATTATCAATTTAACCAAAGTCATTCATGCAGAAAAATGTAGGTCAAAATGACCTAATTCTGGTACTGATGTTGTTGGTTACTTATAACCTGTACAATGACAAATCATCATGCCATTATAAGTTATAGATGCTGAGATATGGACCTCCACCAAAAATTTAACCAAAGTCACTCATGCAGAAAAATGTAGGTCAAGATGACCTAATTCTGGTACTGACGTTTGTGGTTACCCATGATGTATCCACTGACTAATTATCATATCCCTATAACTTATAGTTGCTGGAATATAGGTCTTCACCATAAATTATCATGAAAAAACTAAGTCCAACTTAAGGAAAAAATACGGAAAAATTTGAATTTTTTTTTTCAAAATCATACTTGGGATATAAATTTTTATCCATACTGAATATTGTGTCCAAATTTCAAGAAGACTGAATAAAATTTGAGAAAGTTATTGCAGTTTATAAAACTTTGACATTTGGGTTAACCAAAAGTTGGACGCCGACGACGACGACGACGACGACGGAATCTATGGTCGCTATGTCTCGCTTCGCGACATTCGTCGCAGGCGAGACAAAAACCTTCCTATGGTTTTCATTCCAGTTCTTTTACCATATAAAATTAAATGAATTTCCCCTTCATACTTATTTTAAAGTCTCTTAGCAAACAAAACACTTCACAATCTGATCTCACTCTCCCTTTTCCCTAACCCATGCTGAAATGGCCCAGTAATTACTATTGAATGGATGCAAAAAAAAAAAAAAAAAGAATCATAAGAGGAAGAAATGATTCACATTTCACCATAGGTTTCTGAAAACATACAAAATATTAATAAACAGTAACCTGCAATATTTGAATGCAATATATAATCCATAATGGTCTATCTGCAAATTTGCACCATTTCCCTTTAGTGGACTTTCCCCACTCAAAACCAAATTACGATGTTGTATCTGATCAAATAAGTTGATTACTATAAAAACAATTACAGGTCCTTATAAGTTAAATCTTAAAGGCCGTCCTACTAAACCACAATTATTATAATGTACAAAAAAAGTATATATTCGGTTACAGGGTGTGCTAGAGAATGAATACTAAAGATCTCTTTGAAGCATTCGTACACAATCAAAAGAGGTTGATAAAAGAAACAGAGAACTCAAAGTTTATATGGGGAATTTTGATACCTCTTAAGCATAAGTGGTTGTTTTTACTAAATAAAATAAATTATATTTTGTACATAAATCAATTGAAAAGTTTACACTAGAAAGACCACGTAATAGATTGTGAAATGTTTTATGACATCCCGATCCCGATTGAATTTCAAAACATTGTATAAATCGAAATATTAAATGTTATCACGTAATTTTACAAATTTTTTTCATATTTTTTTTTTAAATTAATTTAATGATAGGTCTAATTCTTAACCATTTACTCTGATCTGAAACATTAATTTTTCACTTGTTTTCTTACAAAAGCTGTAAAGAAGTCTTAAGAAATATTATAATAATGTGTTAAAATAAGCAAAAAAACTTGTCAAAAATTATATTTTAATTCTAATTTTGTTTTAGCATGATATAATAAGTTATTTAAAATATAAATATTTTATTTACAGTCAATAAATTGATAACCTAAAATCATTAGGGTTCTCTGTTTAGTAGTACTCTCTTGAAGGGGGTGGTGTGGGAGGGGGTTCTTTGTAGAGTCTTGGAAGTCATACCCACAAAAATGGATTTTTTGTAGTGTTATCACTATCATCAATTTTAATCTATAGTAGATAAGAAATCCTGTTTATTTCTGATGCCGTTAATAGTTCACAATGACATATAAGCATCACAAATTATGTTATAATAATACAATATATATAAAGTAAAGAAAATCACGCTGCTATATACTGCAATGACAAGACTATTATATTTTTTCAAAAAGTATATATTTGTTGACCTGGTACTGTAGCATGTATAGGATATGAAGGGACAATGCCTATTAAAAGCAAGAGTCCCATGGGCCATATTGCTCATCCGAGAAGCTTTGACCATGCTGTTTTATTCCTAGTTTTCCCCCTTGTAATACATATTGTTACCCCCCATCCCCACCCCCTACCCCAAGGGGTCATGATTTCAACAATTTAAAAATCTACACTATCCCAGGAACCTTCCACATAATTTTCAGCTTTTCTGGCACAGTGAGTCTTGAAGAGAAGATTTTAAAAGATGTTTTCTGTATATTTCTCCGAAAAACTTCGAGACCTTATTGTGTCCCCCTCCCATCCCCAAACCAAGTCGTCATGATTTGAATAATTTAAATTTGCATTAACCCAGGATGATTCCCATATGAAGTTCAGCTTCTCTGGCCCAGTCATTCTTGAGGAGAAGATTTATAAAATAATTTTCCTATATATTTCCAAGTAAAACTTTGATTCCCAATTATAGCCCTGCCTAACCCTGGGGGGTCATGATTTGAACAATTTAGAATCAACACTACCCCAGGATGCTTACATAAGTTTAACCTTTTCTGGTCCAGTGGTTCTTGAGAAATTTTTACAAGACCCCACCCTATTTTTGCCTTTTCTTGATTATCTCCCCTTATTCTTACTACTACTTAAAAAATAAATAATCTATCTTCTAGTGATTCTCCTTTATATCTTCCTGTTTCAACTCTGAATGGAAAAATTCCACATACAAATTGAACAAAAATCGATTTTTAAAATTTTGAAATATTCAAAGTACATGTAGTTTAAATCAATATTAAATTGTTTTGAAATCTTTAAACAAATGTAATTTTTGTAGGTGTTTTATCTTTATTAACCCATACTTTAAAGTAATTCACATTCAAATTCAACTATTTCAGAGTTAAATTATCTATTATAAATATGTTCACAATTGAATTCACCTATTCAAATAGAAATGAATAATTTGCAACAAGCTATATTTATTATAATCATTTAATTTCAAAATAAAAACACATTTTGTTATGCTAAAAACAAAACACTATTTTTCTTTAATCAAGATATTACTGGGGTGAAATTCATTAAATGCTACCATAAATTGATCAACAATGCTTATTTTCAAATACTTACTTAAGTCTTAGGCCTAGAAAAAAATGTTTGTTTCCGCTTTCCCGACCCACCCTAATTTATAGTGCGAACCCCAATTTTTTTTTAATGCTTTTGTCCCTTGAAGTGCAAGATTTCAACCAGGGACTTATAACCTCCTCAGCTTTGCAAGCTTTTCAAGCCAGAAAGAAGTTTAAGTCACCTTTCTATTATAAGTTTAAGTCACAAAAATGCTTGAAAACACCATGTCTTGTCATTGATGTTACTTCTATACACCTTTTGAATAAAGAAGTAAAAAAAATTCAAAAAAAAATTGCCTACCTACCTACCTACCCTACATTTTTTCACCCTGAAAGCAGAAACAAACATATTTTTTTTCTAGGCTTTTTAGGAGAAATGTTATCATGAAAGTTTTGAACATATTATAACATTTTACATATTCAATCATAAACTTATCAACAATGTGAATGCATTTTTTTTACTTTATATCATTGCATTGAAAAATTAGTATTCAATCATTAAATACTTGCTATATGTTTTTTGCAAACATAAATTCTTATATTAGATTAGCATAAACAAGAAATATGTGAGCCAATGCTCACTACTAATACCCCTGCTCTGATGTGAATGAACACTATCATGTTAATATACACAAGTTCAATTACAGGCAAATGCACAGGAAAATATGAAGTTGACATCAGATTCCTATAAAAATTAATCCCACCATATGGCATGCCTCAACATAGAGTTTACTAAAATTTCAAGCATCTCCAAGTTAGTTAATGAGGATTTGTTATATACTGTATATGAAACGGACAGACACACAGACAAATAGGAAGTTGACATCAGATTTTAACAAACATACATGTATATCCCACCATATGTCTTGCATCAGAAGAGATTGTGTTAAAATTTCAAGCATCGGCTACGAGTAGTTGCTGAGAAAACTGCGATGAAATTTGTTTTGAATTAAACGGACAGATTACAAACAGGAAGTTGACATTGGATTTGAACATAAATGTATCCCACTGTATTGCATGCCTCAGAGAAGATTCTGTTAAAATTGTAAGCATCTGCAATGAGTAGTTGCTGAGAAAACTGCAACGAAAATTTGTTTTGTATGAAACAGACAGATGCACAGACAAACAGGAAGTTGACATCAGATTACATACATAAATGTATCCCACCATATGGCATACTGCAGAGAAGATTCTCTTCAAATTTCAAGCAGGTAAAATTACCTAAAGTATATATGGTTCTTGTTAATTTTATTAAGATCATGGAAAAGGTATCCTTTTCATCAGAAGATTCTTCCTTTTTGGAGTCTCAGTACAGAGAGGGCATGAAAGTTGCTTCACAGAGTGATCCAATGGTTTTAGAGTCCTCTAAGAAGCTTCAAGTTCCTGTAGAAAAGATAATGGTAATGTTTACATGTACAAATGCGTACATAGCAATCTACATATATATAAATATATGTTTGCAAAATCATTATATTTGGCAGACCGCAGAGCTACAGTCCCACCCCTTAAAAAAACTTCACATTTGTTGTACACAAAAAAGTGTGCTCAGTTTCTCAATTTTTTTCTACATGTTTTGAAACGTTCATCTCAAAATATTACTGTCTCTTACTAACATATCCTTTCATTGTTACCAAATAAAGCACTATACTTATAAATAAGTCTTTCCACCATCCTGTGGAGAGATCTCTTGAAATGCTTATGTTTATTATTATTTTGTTTCTGGAGATGTTTGGAAAGCATAAGACTTATTAAAACAACTTTATAGTTCATGATATAACCTCCCATATTTGATCTTTGACCCCTTCTGAAGCTATTACCCCTAATGCAAGAAATGCTTGTTATTGCTAACTTCTTTGAAACCATAAACTGCAGAGATTTGAAACCTTTGGCAATGTCCATGACCACTTGAGACTACATTTCAACCTATTCATTACGAAATATTTACATTTCCAATGTCTTTGTCCAAGATAAAATTACAAATTGTAAATGTACTTTATTTCCCTATCAATGCATGGGCGCAGATCAAAAAAAGACATGCAGGGTGGGACAAAGAGCTAAACGGAAGCACGACTTGGAGCATGTGGATTGTTAGAAGTCAAAGCATGTAAATATGAGGAATAACTGTCAGATTTTTAATTTCGTCATGATGATCAATCTATTGGCTTGCATGATTATTTTTTGCAAATTATCAAGCAAGCCAATCAATTGATCACATCATGAAATTGAAAAAAAGACAAAATCTTTTAATTTTACAAATAATTAAAAATTTTCAAAACGTGAAGTCATAGAGCCATGGTAACAACTGCACAAAATTTATTGACCTTTGTCTTTAAAATTAATACAAATCTCAAGGTCTTTCCAAAAATGAGAAATTAACCTTTTTAATATCTCTTTTGTCTTTAAAGATATACTATTTGTCTGTTTATCCTTAATATGTACTCTTAAAAGTATTTCCAAGGTATTATTCTTGTCCCCTAAGATTGACCCTTTTAAAAGTTATTGCCCAGATTTGCCCTTTGTATGAAAATCCTTGTTATAGAAACTGTAGACCATAGAGACACGAAACCTTCAATGATGTCTTAAGGTTTTTCAATCACATCTTCAGGTTAAAAGTGTGAAAGGATCTGATGACCCCTTCTATGAGTTATTGCCCTTTAACTTCCTTGCACTTGTATATTAAAAATTATAACTTTAGAATGAAAAGTAGTAGAGGCATGGAGTTAATTGCGATGTGGCCCTTAACCTTGAAATTTATTCAAGATCAATGATCAAAGTCTTTCCAAAATTTTAAAAATTTTGATTTTTTCTATTCTTTAAGCCACTTTGGTTTCTTTTTCATGGTATTTTAAATGAGTTAGATATAAAACAAGAAGCCCTGTGGCCACAGCGCTCACCTGAGCACACTGGCTAGGAAAAAGCACCAGATCAGAACTAAAGTTTACTGAGCTAAAGGGGGGGGGGGCTTAAATTTTAACCTCCCAGGGGGTCATGATTTGAACAAACTACAATCTACACTACCTGAGAATGATTCCATATAAATATCACCAATCATGGCTCTGAAGTACTTGAAAAGAAGATTTTAAAAAATTTCCCTATTTATTCCTATGAAAAACTTTGATCGCCCATTTTGCCCCCACCCTACCCCCCCGGGTCATGATTTGTTCAAACTTGAATCTGAGGATGATTCCACATTAGTTTTATCTTTCCTGGCCCATTGTTTCTTGAGAAGACGATTTTTAAAGATTATTTTCTATATATACCTATGTAAAACTTATAACGGCCATTATGGCCCCACCCTAGCTCCAGGGGTCATGATTTGAACAACCTTGAATCTATACTACCTGAGGATGATTCCACATGAGTTTCATCTCTCCTTGCCCAGTGGTTCTTGATAAGAAGATTTTTTAAAATGCCATTAATTTTTCACTAATTCATAATTATCTCCCCTTGGAAAAGGGTGTTGCTCTGCATTTGAATAAACCTTAATCCCTTTTACCCAAGGATACTTTGTGCCAAGTTTGGTTGAAACTGGTCCAGTGGTTCTTGAGATGATGAAAATTTGAAAAGTTAAAAAACGACCATGACAACAAAGACGACGACAGACAACGAACAAATTTTGATCAGAAATAAAATTTAAATTCATAGAATCCTAGTTGTTTATAACAGCCTTCCTGTCCCTGAAATTTATTTCATCAAAAATTTTGCCTATTTTACTACCATTTTGTTTTTCAATATATGATTCGGTCAAGTTGGCTTCGTACAGATGTAAACTATAAGAGTACATGTACTTGATAGTGGAGTAAGGACGATTTTGAAATATAGCTACTGTGCAATTGAATTTGGAAGAATCCACAACCCCATACACTTTTTTGTGCGCAAAAATAGAGTTTTTTTCAATGGCAGACACTGTAACTCTCCAGTCTGTCAACATATTTTTTGGAGAGCTACAGCTTTGTAGTTATAAATATGAATATAACTCCTAACCCAGTGCACAAACTTTCATTCAAACTGAAAATAATTTGAACTTTTTCTGACACGTAATTTCCATACATGTATATGCTTGTACAATGAAAGAAATACTTAGTTAATTTAAATTGTCTTCTAATTAAGCACTTGTCCTGATTACTTAAGGGTCAAAATCTTCTTTAAAAAAAAAAATATGTGCATTATACTTAAGTTGTTATTTTACAATTACAATTTACAAACTGCAGCATGAAATTTTTATAGACGAATACGGTATATTACAATTTTCATTACTTTTTTATATTGAGCTAAACTTTTTGCAGAACTGGATAGGTAACAGGAGGAGGAAGGACATCACTCAGCCTAATGCCTCTGTAAAGACTATAAGAGGCCCAAGTGCCTATAGTGTGTTTGCCAAAACCATTCAAAGAGGTGTGTTGGAAGACATTATACATTGTTTAAAACTTGTGAACATATATGCAAAAAAATACATATTATACCCCATGATGGAAAAGTGGGAGGGTATATAGTAATCGGTAATTCCATCCGACCTTCCATCTGTTACTCTTTGGGGTACCCATCTCTTATCTGCAACTCCTCTCATACCACTGAATGAAATTTGATGAAAGTTTCAAAGAATCTTTATTACATATAGCCATTGTGCACCTCCTATTTTAGTTTTTGATCCGACACATATTTTGGGTTTCCCTGCTACAGCAAAACATGGACTTTGCCATTAATATGGAGGCGGGGGTATAATTTATTGAGTTCATCGCTCACAGTACCTCTAGTTTGGTGCTTAATTTTGATCATCATTATATAAAATTAATAATTTACAATTTACATCATCATATTTCTCAATGAACCCTCGGTCTCTTTAACTTTTGAGAGGACCCATATTCATGGTCACAAAATATAATAAACAACTAGAGGTACTGTGAGCTGTGACTATATACCCTCCCGCTTTTCAAGCGGAGGTATAATAAAAACAGAAAATGTAACACAATCATGATGCATGAAATCATGTACACTTAGTTAAAGTTATTCATACCATATAAAAAAACATTCACTAGCATAGCCCAGTGGTTAGAGTATATTCTCTGGAGTCATGAAATAAGGAGTCAATCCTTACATTGCAGGTTCCAATCCCATTTAGGGAATTGGATATTGGTCCTTCAAACGAGACCGTATAAACCTAGGTCTGAATTATTTATTCATGTCCCCATCTGAAATTGGGAAATATTAAATTTGGTCCTTCCATTCCTCCATCATTAAATGTAATTCTGTTTGTCCGTAACACTTATGTTTCCATCAGATATCTTAAGAACCCTTAGAGCTTTTGCAATGAACCTTTAAACCATAACTCCCCTAGCAAGATCATTATTTTATTATAGTTCATAAAGATCAAGGTTATAAATTCATTCATTCTTTATTTTTTCACAGGATCTATGTCCAAGGAATCTTATTTAAGGCACATATCAGCCTCCTGGAGATCATTATCTCCTGAGCAGAAAAATGACTTCTCTCTAAAGGCATCCGAGGAAAGGAAGGGAATAACAAGTGGTTTAGATAAAGACAAATTCATAACCAGGAACTTGAAATCTATCACCCATTCAGTAAGTTCAGTTCATTTATTAGAGCACATTCAACTGTTAATAGAAACAAGAGGCCCATGGGCCACACCGCTCACCTCAGCACTAAAGGTAGGAAAAAGTAGAAAATGGTTTCTTATTGGAAAGTTTAAATCCAAAAGAAGACCCATGACCAATCATAGATTTGCTATTTTTTAGAAAATGATTTTTAAAGAATTTTCCTATATATATCTTCAAAAACTTTGGTGGGCCATTTTTACCCCGCCCTAACCCTGGGAGTCATGATTTAAACAAATTTGAATAAACACTACTTGAACATGCTTCCATATAAATATGATGAATTTTGGCTTTGTCATTCTTGAGAAGATGTTTGAAGAATTTTCCTATATATTTCTATGTAAAACTTTGGTCTGCCATTTTGGCCCCGCCCTAACCATGGGGGTCATGATTTGAACAAACTTGAATCTACACTACCTGAGCATGCTTCCATATAAATATGATGAATTATGGCTTTTTCATTCTTGGGAAGAAGATTTTTAAAGAATTTCCTATATATTTCTATGTAAAACTTTGATAGGCCATTATGGCCCCGCCACCTCCAGGGGTTACGATTTGAACAAATTTTAATCTACACTACCTGAGCATGTTTCCCCATAAGTTTCATCTCTCCTGGCACAGTGGTTCTTGAGAAGAAGATTTTTAAAATATGCCACCAAATCTTCATTAATTCCCAATTATCTCCCCTTGAATGAGGGCCTAGCCATTCATTTGAACAAATTTGAATCCCCTTCACCCAAGTATACTTTGTGGCAAGTTTGGTTGAAATTGGCCCAGCGGTTCTTGAGAAGAAGTGGAAAATATGAAAAGTTTACAGTTTGACGGACAGACAGACGCCGGACAAAATGTGATCAGAAAAGCTCCCTTGAGCTTTCAGCTCAGGTTAAAGCTCAGTTGAGCTAAAAAGGACCCAATGGGTCACAATTCACAGTTTTACGTGTCACTTAATTCTCCCTTCTTATATAATCATCATCAGCAAGGTTAAATTTTCCCAGTCATACTTTTTCATTGGAATTAATGTAGATCAAAATCTTCCCATACTTAAAGACACCTATGTGTTTCATAAAACACTTATCAACATCACATTTTGATTCTGTTGTCCTTATTTATTTATTTAATTTTTTTAGCATTTACTACCTACACAGACATAAAATTCTAAATAACATATAATTCTTTTTACTTTAAAGGAAACCAGAAGTCTCTGTCGAGACTGAAGCTCTACTGGTTTGAACTTATAGAAAGGAAGAGAAAAGTACTAAAGCAGCTGGGATTTGAAGCCTCACAATAGCAATAAATAGAATAATGATCTTTGATAAAGTCTCTTTATGTTCTTAGTGTAGTCTACTTGTGTGCCAAGTTATATTGAAATCAGACCAAAACGGTACGAGGAGTAGCATTTCGAAACAATTTTACAGATATTTCTATTTTTCTTAACCAGGACAACACCGTTCATTAAATCAAAAACCAATATAAAGATTTATGTATCTTAGAGTATTCTACTTGTGTGCCAAGTTATACTGAAATCAGACCAAGACTGTGGGAGGAGTAGCATTTTGAAAGAATTTCACAGAAATTTCTATTTTTATTAACCACAGCAACACCGTTCATCGAAATCATAAACCGATACTCAGAATAATGTATCTTAGTGTATTCTACTTGTATGCCAAGTTATACTGAAATCAGACCAAAACTGTAGGAGGAAAAGCAATTTGAAAGAATTTCACAGAAATTTCTATTTTTAGTAACCACGGCAACACCGTTCATCAAAATCAAAAACCCATGTCCAGAATTATGTATCGTGGTGCATTCTACTTGTGTGCCAAGTTATATTCAAATTAGACCAAAACTGTAGGAGGAGTAGCATTTTCAAAAATTGTTTACAGACAAACGGACAGACAGATAGCTAGACAGCTGGACAGACAGACGGACGCTGGACGCATTACTATCGCATAAGCTCTTCTGGTCTCTGACCAGTAGAGCTAAAAATGGCATATAAAATAACAATTAATATATTATGTGATTTGGTGCATGGCTAAATAAAATATGATATCACACTTTTTTATGTTTAATTTTAGCTGTTGAATTTTTAGAGGTGTGTCTTTTATAGGTGTTTAAGTAAGTTTATGACTTATTCAAGGTATTCAAATCAAAAAATTATCATCAGTTTGACCAAAAAAAAATTGTTAAGTACAGACTTACCTTAGTTATTTTATTTTTTTAAGTGTAAACTCCTCAGTGGGCTTGGCGTTGAAATTGGTGGCTTGGCATTTTATGAAGGTAAACCTACCATATTTGGATCCCCAAATGGATTAACATACTTCTCCGACATAAGAAGGCAAGAAGAATTCCATTTTGCCACCTGTGGAAGACCAGGTAAGTATTTTTTAACACTAAAAGTATTAAACCCTTTTACAACTTTTAAATAATTATTTTATTTTACATATCAACATTGATAATATTTCCAATTTACATAGCTGACAGAAAAACTAAAAGTGAAGACAGTTGTTCAAGCCTAAAAGAAGAAGTACGCAAAATTTTCTCTCACGCTTGGAGTAAGTTTGATTGATTGCATACCGTTTAACGTCCCTCTCCAGAATATTTCACTGATATGTAGAAATCACCATTGCTGGTGAAGGGCTGCAAATTTAGGCCTATGCTCAGCACTTACGGCCTTTGAGCAGGGAAGGATCTTTATCGTGCCACACCTGTTGTGACATGGGGCCTTGGTTTATACGGTCTCAACCTAAGAACCACCCCATTTAGTCACCTTTTAAGACAAGCAAAGGGGTACTGAGGACCTATTCTAACTTGGATCCCCATGGAGCAAAGAGTAAGTTTTACAATGATTTTTTTTCCAATTATAAAATCCAACTTGCACATTCTTAAGTATGTTATGGCCGATATTTTCCTTACTAATTGGTCTTCTCAATACTTTCTTTAATCATTGACCCTCTCTTTCCTGCCCTCTGTTTGAAGTTTTCTTGTTTTATTACTTGTTATCCTTTACTTTCAATATTAGTCTCAGCTGGTGGCTCTGGTAATGCTCCACCCTACAAGAAAATCATATGCAACATACCTTATGGTTTCCATCTTTCTGGACTTCCAGTCAACATATTCAAAGATCCAAGCTGCATGCATAAAGAGGACCTCCTCAAAATTATAGACAACAAGGAGGCTATAAAATTTGAAAAACTGTAAGTACTTATTCTGTAAATTGTTTCACATTATAATGAACATTAACTCTTTTGCTGATATACTTCTGAATAGTTACAGTATAATTATTTAATACATCTTGTATAACAGTGCATTTACATTTTCTCCTATTCAATGAAGCTAAAATATATAACTTTTAGATGATAAAAATATACAATGCTTTCCAAATAAGTGTGATCCTTCTTGGTCAAATGATTCTCTAAAGATACTCACAGTAGGCATGGAAAATTTTACTTCTGTTTTATATTTGCATGCAAGGCTTTCATCCTCATCATAAGTGGCTGGAATTAAAACAGAGCAAATTCATAAAAATCTGTTAAATTGGGTCAGGGCTAAATCAAAACATCTAGGGCAAAATTGTTTGCACCCTTAAAAGGTAAAAAATTTGTCAGGGCAAAAGAAGCCCTGTATAGATTATAGATTATTCAAAAAACCTATTTAAAATTCTATCACAAAATGTAGTGTCACCCTATATCCAATATGATATGATTTAAATAAAATTGACACTACCTGAATTGAACAAACTTAACACTATCTTAATTGAACAAACTTGACACTACCCAATAAGATGATCATGGAATTGTAAATGTTTAAAAAGATGACTGAACATGGATGATGATACTGATAGTCAATGGATAAATTCATGTGGTTTATTTATTCTTATTTGATTGTGATTTTAAAATATCTAATTTCATTCAATTCAAGAAAATAAAATAAAATCATATAAATGCATAGTGTTGAACCTGTTCAAAAGACAGCAGCAGAATATTCTTTGGACCCCCCGTGCCCTGAAGCCGACTCTGTAGCAGGTATATGGGAAAGTTTTTTATCAATGCTCCTTTATAAAATTTATTTTACTCTAACTCTATTTACATGTATTGTTAATTATCAAAATGAAATCGCCAATATGTCATTCTTTATATGAATTGAACTGACCTGTAACAGAAAAATTTACCTTTTTCACCCCCACAGATTCACAAGTGCTCAATGACATGAGTACCAAGACTACATGTAGCCCTGAAGCAACTGAGTCTGCAGGAGGTAAATTTAAATTTACAGGATCAAATCAATCCTCAACACAAAAATGGTTTAGATTTAATGACATGTTCATGTATATTCCTGAATTTTTTTTTTATGATCATCATTGTTAAAATTATTTTATACTACCTTACATTTTCATGTTCATTGTTGAAAGCAGGGCCCTTTGAGATGTTATTTCAAATTTGTTATAACAAATCAAATTTGTTAAAAAAAAATTTTTTGAATCCATTATAACAAATTCATAAATACATTTATATAGGCCTAAATAGTCAAATTTGATTATAAATGACTGCCTTAATTCGCTATAACAAATTTTAGAATTTGTTACAACAAATTAATTCATTAAAATGAATTCAAGAAATTGTTATAACAAATCAAATTCTTTCTTACAATTTTGACAATGTGTAATATTGAACTCAAATTTATTTTTTGATAGATCCAAAATAGGCTTCAATATATTTGATATTTACATCTGTTTATTCTATCTCTGCTAAAGACCTCTCACACAAACACACCCTCTCTCTCTCTCTCTCTCTCTCTCTCTCTCATCAATTCAAAATCGTTACTTATTTGTTATTACTCAAATTGAAAATATTTTACGAAACAGATGACTCTACTTCAGCACTCTTGATGGATCTTGGCTTGGGTGAAAAAGAATTAGGTTGGTCAAAATCACATCATTATTTAAAATCTGTTTTGATACTTAGAAGCATTTTATCTAAATCAGATATCACAAAATTATGGTGATATCACAAATATCATGGACATTTTATTTCACTTAGGAAGTCAAATAATTCTTCTCTTCTTTAATTTTACTTCAATTTGGAGTCGCATACATATTTATTCATTCATTTTTATAGAGGAAGTAAATGAGGTGGAATTGTTGGAGGAATACCTATCAACCACCAAAATTATGAAAGAATTGGAGCAGACATGTAAGTAAAGAAATTTTCTGGACACAACATGCACAAGATTTAGTAATTCTATCATGGTGTATGACTACTGTCCTATAAAAAACTTAATTTTATGACAAATGAGATTTCAACTATTTCATTGTCAACTCTATTTTTGAAGTAATTGATATGAATGCAATAATATTGCCCTAGCACCAAACTTCATCTCTATATGGTTCTTACTATCTTCCAATGTATTCAAAGCTTAAATGCATACTGCTACAAGTACAATTTTTAAAGCATTTAGATGTTTTTCGTATTCCGAATGAACGCTCTGTCTAACTGATCAATACAGCTGGTGTGACCAGTCAAAAGAGATGCTCACTCCTCCCAGGCACCTGATCTCACTCTTTGTTATCTACATGTATTGTAAATCACTTTTTCTAAATTAATATTTAAATTTTTTACATTGATGTGTTCAATAGTGAAAAGAAAGACAGAACTGGCTGAAAAAATTCAAGGTAACTGTGTTAAAATATTTTATTTATATAGGTATTATGTATATCAATTAATATGGTTTATAATTACATTAATTTATAATTTATGTTTTGGGGTGTGAAAAAATGCTGTTGTTTGATTGGACAGAAAAATAATTACGTGTACTTGATGTACATTTTTAGCAACTTTCGGTTATCGTTCTTGACTTCCATATTTAGAAATCGTCCAGACCTGATGAAAATGTAAAAAGTTTTTGACAACAAAAATGACGGCACAACAAAGATGACGGAAAAATTTTGATCAGAAAAGCTCACTTGAGCCTTTGGCTCAGGTGAGCTAAAAAATATCGAGATTTCACTTTTGTAATATTGATGTTTTCCTATTTCTATTGATTTACAGTGAGAAAAAAGACAGGAGTAGCTGAAAAAACGCCAGGTAATTGTGTTAAAATAATTTATTTACTGTAAAAGCATAAATATTCTTGGGGGATTAAATTTTGTTTATTTCGTTGTTAACAATTTTCAACGAAATTAAATCCCTTACAAAATTTAAATGACTATACACTGAACAGGGTTACTTTCAAAACAATGAAATTTAATGCCCATGAAAATCTTTTAGATAACAAATCAACGAAATTTTATCCCCCAAAAAATTTGTGCCTTTATAGTATTTAAGCATTAACATGATTAAGGTATATCAACCTTTGGAGGCAAAATTAAAATTTTAGTTTGTCTGGAATTGCCTCTCGCCTTCTTAAAATGTCCCCTCCTGAAAAAAATTTATGGACCAAAAGTAGGAAGATTTTTTTTTATTTAATGGAATTTTTTGCCCATTACATGTATCACATTCACCATATGAAACACTTAAATATATGTCAGATCTATGTAAAATTTGTGTATTTTTCTTAATTGTCAGAAAATGTATTTACTGTATACTGAGATTTTTATAAAAAATCAAAAAAATTTCTTCAGTTAAAAAAAAAATCCCCACAGGCACAAATTCGATCCAAACAAACAATTTTTTAAGGATGACCTAATCATAAATAATTAAACTGATGATTTATTTTCTGTTTCACATGCAGAGCAAGGCAAGGCAGAAGTAGCTGAAGTAGTGCCAGGTAATTGTGTAAAAATATTTTATTTATATAGGTATTAGGTATATCAATTAATATGGTTTATAATAACTGTAATGAATGAAGTAGAATAATTTAACAGTATCATAAATAATTAAACTGATGATTTATTTTCTGTTTCAAATGCAGAACAAGGCAAGGCAGAAGTAGCTGAAGTAGTGGCAGGTAATTGTGTAAAAATATTTTATTTATATAGGTATTAGGTATATCAATTAATATGGTTTATAATAACTGTAATGAATGAAGTAGAATAATTTAACAGTATCATAGATAATTAAACTGATGATTTATTTTCTGTTTCAAATGCAGAGCAAGGCAAGGCAGAAGTAGCTGAAGTAGTGGCAGGTAATTGTGTAAAAATATTTAATTTAGGCCATCCTCAAAAAAATGTTTGGAATTGCCGCCTGGGTGTTATCAGACCCAGGAGGGAGGGAGGGAATTTATTTATTTTTTTTTTTTTTACACAATGAACAGTGGTGATTTTCCTTAATTTCCCTCTTTCTTTTATTTGATTAATTTCATTTTTGTCTAATTAAAATATATACAGAACGGTACTCAAGTATCAATCTTTCTTTGATGTTAGATTTTCTTATCTATTAAAAGTCAAATGTCAGCGTCAAACTTTTTTCTTTATTTAAAAAATCTTTTTAGAACAATTTCTTCATAAATCTTTTTAAAACAATTTCATGACTGTATTTCATAGCATTTCTCATTGAAATTTAACCCTTCGTTAAGACAACCTTTACAAAGTATGAGAACCACACAAAATTAGTTGGAATGTTGTGTGGAAAAACGGGAGGGGGTGCTTGGTATTTCTAAAGTCAGTGTTCACCACGAATCAGTTTTAACATTAGGTTTCAAAGACTTGTCATATTGACAACATTTTTTCTTTTGTGTTTTGGAATAAACATTTCTGACCTGTGTAATTTTTTAACATGGAAGCCTGGAACTGTGCAATCATCTATAACTTCAACATGACAGACTTTTCCTAACAAGTTCAAAGGGCAATCTATTACAAAAGCTCTTTTCAGGTATCGGTGTATCATTCCATTTAATTTTTTATTCACCTTTTATTTTTATGAAGATGCATAAATGTTCTGGTCTTCGACGCTTGAATGTTTTCACATCTAATGATCCAACTTGGTCTGACATTTTGGCGGCTTTCATTTTGTCAAATGGCCACCTACATTAATTCCCTATATCATAAATACTAAGAAGAAAGCGTTTTATTGACCCGTGTTGTTAAATTTATGGAAGCTCAAACCCGACTACAAAAATCTATTTCGAAGAACGAATTAACTTGTAAAAAGCGAAGTCAGACATAGGACGGTAAAAAAATATTTCCAATATTTTGCCAATAAAATTTTTTGAGCTGGGGTATTTCAAGGAGGCGAGCGGCAATTCCAAACAAACTATAATTTTATTTTGGCCTTATATAGGTATAAGGTATATCAATTAATATGGTTTATAATTACTGTAATGTATGAAGTAGAATAATTTAACAGTATCATAGATAATTAAACTGATGATTTATTTCTTTATCCAAATTGTAACACAATGATTGTGTTCAATGTTCATTATTCCACTTATGAAGAATTAATAGAGCTACTACTGATTTCTTACCCTTTACTTTTAAATAAAGGGAAAACACTGTTCTTTTGAGCTTTTGACCTCGCAAAAGGAAACAACTTTTGCAAAGTGTGGATTGGACTAGGGTAAAGTGATCTTGTGTCGGACACGATCTAGAGTCTGACAATTTTGACGCTATTTTTAACAGACTTCCGATAATGAATCCACCCTATTTTGTGATTGACTGAATCAAGTAATTCTTAATCTATTAAGAGTTGTCTTTCTTTATCGAAAGACGATGTTGCTGTGTTCATGACGTTTGACCTTAGGAAGCACTTACTAATCACAGGGGAATTCGAAGACCTGCTCGGTAAAATTTCGATAAATCAAATGCTTGGAACTTATCACATCGTGGAAAAGAATTTAATTTGAAAGTTGAAATTAGGCTTAAACTATGCAGTAAACATCGTAAATACACAATTATAAATTGTTTATGAAATATTTAATTTAATTCTTTTTCGAAGAAATTAAGTTTGGGTGCAGTGACTCAATTTGATCTTGAGTCTGACAGTAAATTTTTGCTATTCGATGTTAAGTCGGACACTATCAAAATTTATTATGAATCTTATGCATACAAAAAGAAAACCTAGAGGTGTCCGACTCACGATCACTTTACCCTATAAACATTACCTAAGCAGGGGCATATCTGGCGTTTACAGCAATGTGGTGTTTAACATCATCTGGTTCATGATTGCATCTATTCAAGGATAAAAAAAATACACAACTAAAGATATTTATATGATTAAAAAAAACTTACAATTATTTTAAACTCATGAGTACTACAACATCTCATGTAAACAATGAACAAACTTCATTAGAGAGACTATTTACAAATGAAAAATATCTTTAAATTAAGTTCAAAATACTTCTCCATGCATGTTTATAATATTTGAATACTTATTTGTTACATACACAATGCTAATTGCAATTATGACAAAATTCTACTTACATTCTGTCATTCACGGTTTCACCCTCATAATTTTCCGCCAATAATTGCTAGCCGCGGTGTAGGGTGGTTTCGCGCCGATTACGTGTTCGCGCCGAGTGGTATCGCGCCGAGTGGTTTCGCCCCATTTATCTACAGGTATGGGTAGTATACAGAATGGCTTCCCCCCGATTACCTGTCAGGTAGCTTGTAATTAATTAAACCCAAGCGTTAATGTCGTGTTATGTGGGATAATTATCCCAATTTGTGTTAATACATTTTGTGAGGCCATTTTTAGCCAAATTATAACTATTTGAACAGATTTGACTGTCTTATTTGGAATAATTTAGGACTGGATATTAAAATATATATATTAATTTCACAAATCGCGTTGATTTTTCAATGAAGGTTGTCATTGTTTTTCAGTTTATTTACAATATTAAATTATGTAGAACAAGGAAACTTCAAAGGCAATCAATCTTTCAATACAGACACATCAGTAATTCGAAAATAGAATAATATTCTTCATTTAAGCACTCATACAGATAGAAATTTTTGAAAACTTCAAAGCTAATATATATAATATACATGCGGGGCGAATCCACTCGGCGCGAACAAGTGATCGGTGCGAAACCACTCGGCGCGAACACGTAATCGGAGCGAAACCACCCGCATTCCTAGCCGCTAAGGCACAAGAAATGACCAGCATGCAACACTGTGTCCCATGTGACATCACGAAAAATATTCACAATTATTTCCAAGCTTAACTTTTTCCAAAATATGAGAATACTTTTAATAAGAACTTAAAATTTTAACAACTAATAAAAATAAACTATTTCAGTAAATACCAAAATTCTAAATCTCATACAAATTTAAATATATGTAAAATCTCTGTCAAGTGGAATCATTAAGTTCAACGCTAAAGGCCCCCGGTTCAAATACCGTTAAATGCAACATTTTATTTTTTTTATGTTAACAAACAATAAAATTTTCAGTATAATACTTCCCCTCTTAAAAAATACTTTCGTTGGAATACTTTATTGTCCCTGTCAATACATTTCTTTCATTTTTTTCAGAGAACAATGCTGGGCACAGTAAAAAAAAAATATACAGATAAAATTCATTTTTGTAATATTGATGTGTTCCTATTTCTATTGATTTACAGTGAAAAGAAAGGCAGGAGTAGCTGAAAAAACGCCAGGTAATTGTGTTAAAATAATTTATTTATCGAAGCATTAATTAATTAAGGCATAACAAGTCATATGTTTTTAATTAATGTAATGTATGAAGTAGATAATTTAACAGTATCATATGTGATTTAGCTGATGATTTATTTTCTGATCCAAAGACTTTCATTGGAATAATTAATTACATTTATTTCATCTTTTCAGAGAAAAATGCTGGACAGAGTAAAAAAAATGCAAAAAAAAACAAAAAACAGAAATTTTCAGGTCAGGATTTCATAATATTTAAAATATTTATTTATTTCTATTTATAAGTTTCAATGATTTCCAAAATGGTATAAAAAGATTTACTTGCTCCCTAGTTTATTGTCTAAATTCTAATTACAGAAAAAGAGTATTATGTTGATAAAATCCTGAAACAAAGAAAAAGAAAAAACAAAACAGAGTATTTGGTCAAGTGGTTGGGCTATGATGATCCCAAAGACCTCACCTGGGAGCCCAAAGAAAATATTCCAGCCCATTTACTTTTAGAACAAGATATATAGAGTGCATTTTTACTGTATGCTAGCTTCCATTTTTAACAATTAAAAAGAGGCCCAAAGGCCTGATAGGTCAGCTGAGCATCATGCAACAACTTTCCAATGATTGAATTTTGTCCATGTTTTAAACTAGATGCCAAGGCATTCACAATTTTGAAAGCATTATGCTCATCATGACATAACTATACACTTAGGCATTATTTAGTTTTGGGAGGCAAGGACTTTTTAATTCACAATTTTGTTTCCCTTAACCCATATATTTCATGTGCCAAAATTGGTTGAAATTGGCTCAGATGTTCCAGAGAAAAAGCTGAAAATGTTCAAAAGTTTACGACATATTGAGAACGTACAACTTACTAGGAATGATGATGCACAAAACAGATAACTTCTCACATTTTTTTTTATTTTAGCAAAGTTTTTTTTTTTGTAACGGCTCTAATATCTTATTATTACATAAAATTGAGAAAAACATGAAGTGGCACATGAAACATGTGTAATTTGAATATTTTTTTTATAAAAAAAAGTGTCTGTTGAAAAATTAAATATAATATGCACTTAAACTTTCCATTTTTCTAAATACAATCAGGACTTAAGTTAAATGTTATTCGACAAAAAAAATGACAAGAATTATTTGTATCCCCTATTCTGAAGTTAAAGTTGAAGACATATGTGAATTAATCTGCATGTTTAGGATGTAATTTCTATTTGTTCATGAAAAACAGAAATCAAATATGATTGATCGGAAGTAAAAGTTGTCACTATGTATTTTTTTCCTTTGCACATAACTCATCAGGTTTATCAGGTATGAGCCCTGAAAATATCCAGGATCTTTTTACTTTTTATAGCTCTGATTTCTACTCAATGTGTTCAGAATTGAATTATAGTATTTACAAATTCTCTTCAATATTCATGCAGGCGTACATTTACATTTTAAACTATCACCATCTTTACCTGTTTTTTTAAGAAGAATTTGGGGAAAAAAATTATAATTAGCCAATTGTCAGTAATTTTTATCATTGTAGATGTCCTTGTCTTTATTATCAGCTACATCTATATATTTGTATATTGACTTATTTATTGTCTTATATTTTCATTAATTTGTACATTGTATCTGATTACCAGTATTAAGTTATAAAATGAGCTTATCTTTTCTCATGTAAAGTGTATATATGTTTGATTGTTTCATTTCATGAAAATTATTTGAATAATAGAAGATATATAATGCTGTGTCACGTACTTCTAACACAATAAAAAACAGAAAAATTATTGATGTTTGCTTGTACAACTATCACTTACAGTGTATTTGGGAATATCAGGCCATTATCAAAAAATATTTTTGTTTGATGTACTCTAACCCGCATTTTTCAAACTGGATATTTATTATTTTTTTTATTTATTCATTTATGGTTTTCAGTATTGAACAGTCATAAAAATCACACTTTGAAATCTTTATTGATGTTTTAAAAAAATTAATTGGTAGGAACAATTTTGACAGTTTGGTTTAAATACATACAGAAATTATTTTCTATTGTTGGCCTTGTATACTCATAAATTATTTGACAATAGAAGTTCCATGTGTGAACAAAACAGAATTATGCCATGAGCACAGTCAATAAATGTTTTGTTACACTTTTTTCCATTGCATTTATTTTGTATTGGCCGGATTCCATGTTGTAAATTTCTTTGCCGGAATTGCAATTAAATGGTAATGTATGGTGAATTCCGTCATAGTCAAACACTAATACATGTAATGGCAAATAAGATTTAACATTAAAGCCCTGTGTTATTGAAAAACCTATGACACTTTGAAGCCTGTGGACTTAACATTTTTTTTTATTACTGGTTAAGTTTCATTTCAATACTAGTCATCTTAACATTTGAACCCCCCCCCCCCAATAAAAAAAAAACTCAGAATTTAATAAAAAATAGATGCTTTTTTTCAATTAAAATTTGAGTATTACATGTACCATATAGTGTCTGCTCAAAAGTTCAGTTCCAAGGCTCAATTTTTTTTAAATGTGGGTCAAACTCTTAGGTCAAAGTCAAAGGTCAAAAATATTTATACCATCTGAAAGGTTTGGTCAAAACAAGCATTCTGAGAGTATTGCATAAACAGTACATGTCTCTTCCGCGTTCCCATTTTTATTTAGGAATTGTCACTTTACAATACAGTATGCAAAATTTATTTTCTGGCTTAATTAAAAAATGTCACAATTCTGTCAAAAATCAATGAAGCCAAATGAAATCCAATCTTAATCTGTAACTTATCAAGATACACTCATATACTTAAATTCAGCTCCACATCTGCATGTGTTTAGAAATAAAGAAGCGGAAAACCAAATAGGACAGGCTGACAGTCAGACAGGGACGGACGGACAGAAGCAGGGAAAACCTATAGCCCTCGCCCGTATCACTGGACTAATTAATAAATACACAAGTGAAGTCAGCTGCAGATCTGTAGCCTAATGGTTTTATATATTTGTCCATGGTGATTTGTCTTTGTCTATAATGCAACAGATCTTGTAATGCAAAATTAAAGGTGCAATTTAGGGAGCAATATATTTTGCGCAATATTGGGGATAATTTTTTCCCTTTCTAGCATTGATCAGCCAACATCCCTTCACTCCCTCATTTAAGATACATTTTGTTGCCAATGTGTATATTTTATCTACCTTCTAACCATTTCTAGTTGTCTCTACGGTCAGTAAACTCGCTTCAAGTGATTTTCAGCAATTTAACAAATGATTTTAATCCAGTGAGCTCGAGTTTATCACGCGTAGAGACGACTACAATGAAACGCATTGAAGTGGTAAGATTTTCCTTTTGGATGGAACGTTTTGAGCTATTTTTAGATACGCCTATTTCTTCCGAAAGAAAAAAAATCGGTTAAATGATTCAATCGAATACCTGAAGAACAGCTTTTCTATAAATAAAATAGCCAATGAAATTGACGGCCTACATATAAACACCGAGTAAGCACGTGTTCGACTCATACATGTGCTATGCTAAATCCAATAACCATGATGAAAAATGAACGTGTCGTTATTGTGTAATTTACGTTCAAAAAAAGATCTCAGAACGTTTCAATCAAATGGAAAATTTTACCACTTCAATGCACTTCATTGTATAAATGGCTGGGAGGTGGATAAAATCTACAGTCCATTATAATATGATACTGTATAACTTAAGATAATGTACCTGGAATTAGGGGGGGGGGGTAAAAGATAGTTAATTAATTGACCAATGCTAGTATGTGGATAAATTCTCACAAAAAGTGTGCAAAAAATACATTTGCTCTCTAAATTGCACATTTTTTTTTTTTGCATTACATGATCTGTAGCATTATGGTCAAATATATATATATATATATATATATATATATATATATATATATATATATATATATATATATATATATATATATATATATATATATATATATATATATATATATATATGCAGCTAATGTGAAGTATGAAAGTTCGGGAGGTAATATATGGTGGAACCCCAAAAAAGGTCTTGTCACAAGGAATACATCTGTGAAATATGAAAGCCAAAGCTCCATCCATTCAATAGATTGACTAGGTTCAATGAGTTTTCCACTTAATTAAGTATAGTAGCGTGGTCCCTTTTTTGCCTACGGAATATACATGAAGGTATGGTATCAATTTTAGTTTTATTGTGTATAACAAAGTACTTTAAATTAACATTTTGTACCATTATTAATAATAACTTTGAATATAAAGTATTTATAAGGTTTCTTATATGACTAGCCCAAGATAGCTAATACCTGATGAATATTGTGTAATTGCTTCGAAGATGGTTAAATCCTTGTATTGACAAAAAACCCCACAATAATTGTTCCATTATATATTTCACTGATGAAACGAATGTATTTTACGATCATAATCCATAAATATTTCAGTTCTTTATTCCGTGGGACGTACATCCCATAAGCATCATGACTACAACATTGTATTTATCAATTACATACAAAGTACAGTAACATGTTATAAACTTACCAACTAGTAATACATACATTTATTATATAGCCAATTGATTTAAACATTAAACATATTTCTAATTGCTTATTCTGGAATATAAGCAATTAGTTCTCAATTTTAGTAGATTGCTTTTATGTCAGGCCTATGATACATAATTATATAATCGTGTCAATCAAAAACATTTCTCTAGTTTTCCGTCAATTTCTTTAGAATTACAGTGTTCTGCAAAAAGGTTTTACTAGGGATGGGTATCGCCAAAAATTTTGTATCGCGATAAATTACGATATTTCCATGGCACCTGATCCCACCTCTGATGTTTCGGAGGTCCGTGTTTGCTCTGCTCTTATTTTGTATATTTGTTTAATGGACGTTGAGATTGAATACTGTTCGTTATTTCCATATTCTTCTTCCAACAATATCACGATAATATCATGATATTTTAAAAGCAGTTTTTACCATGATTTTATAAATACGAAAAGTCATTATTATTCTAAAAATATGCGAGAAATACAAAATTTTACTATCTTGAAATTTGTATGTATATAAAATCAATTACTTTTGCCCTTCTCTTCACTTTTTACTTTTTTTTTAGATACTTTGTGTAATTGTAATTTGAAAGATTGAACGAATAAATGAATTATTTCTAATAAGGACCTAAAGACCTGTAATTAGTTCTTCGTATCACGATACGTATCACGCAACGAAAAATTCCGATGTACCGCTTTACCGATAAAATCGCACATCCATAGGTTTTACCTTCTTGTCTGGAATAGTATACAATTATTGCTGTTTTTGAGGTCAATACAATGATTTAGCCATCTGAGGAGTACAATATTCACCGAGCCCGAAGGGCAATAATTGTTTTATTATATGATTCACTCATTACTTGTTTGCATTTAATTAAGACATCGCCAAATACAAGAGAGAAGCAGAATTAAAATGTAAATACACTTTCTTAGTAGTATCAGTTTGAAATGTTTTTTTAAATCAATTTTAGATTCCGTGAAAAAAAATTATGTCAGTCTTTTTATAGGATAGATTCAATCATGTAATAATTATATATATATATTGGTAAACTATACTTATTTCAAACAAATCTGGCACAAAACTTCAGTGGATAGAAACATTGACTTTGTGCCAGTGGTCTTCTTAAAGCATGTATGTGTACAAATTCTCTTTTTTTTTCTCATGAACTTAGGATTCATTTCACATGAACTATTTTACCTGTGACAAGACCTTTCCAAATATACTATATTGTTTTCATCCAATGACCTTAAGATTGACCTCGATCATGAAGTTTGACCTACTTAAAAAATAATATTCGTCGAAAGAAAAGTAAAGAAAGGGATTTCATTTTACCCATGTATAGTCATGTTTATAATCTGTGACAAGGTCTTTCAAAATAAAATATTATTTGGGGGAAGGGGTTGGTTGGTTGTCCCTCCAACCTTAAACTTGGAGTTGACTTATCTTTTTTTCTATTAAGAAGGGTTAAGAGTTTCATAATTGTCAATAGTCATGTGCATTAGCACAGGCCTGTCACAAGATGTTATAGCATGCTATGACTTTTGTCCCATTGTCTTTGACCATGATGTTTTATATTACTTTTTAAAATTTTAACTTTGGTGATTACTTTTGAATGATACATTTATAAATAATTGACAATGCCATCCCATCCAAATACGGACATCCAAAACATCAGATCAGGTGCTATATTGAGGAATGTGCATGCCCTGCTGAAGGGTCGCATCAGCCCGGATCGGGGAAAAACGCCTGAAAATCACTCGTCATTTCAGTGCATAAATATTGTAATGGATTAACAGTATGAAAAACGTCAATTAGATTTTGACTACTGCTGAAAAGTGAAAAGACTAAAGGTGATTGACCAGTTTGGGGTATTGTTGTATTAATTCTGATTTTAGGGCGCATTAATTTTTTGCACACTTTGTGAGAATTTCTCCACATACTAGCATTTGTCAATTAATTAACTATCTTTTACTCCCTAATTCTAGTTCCATCATCTAAGTTATACAGTATTATATTATAATGAACTGTAGATTTTATCCACCTCCCAACCATTTATAGTCGTCTCTACAAGTGTTAAACTAACTGGATTAAAATTATTTGTTAAATTGCTGAAAATTCACTTTAAGAGAGTAATGTTTATTGCCAGTATGTTGTTATTTATCATTACTCGGATTAGTCCGAAAAATCTGACGTTTTTCTGGCTTTTTTACGATTTTGAAATTTTTATTGCCAGGCTTAAAAAAAACCCAGAAAGACGTCAGATTTTTCGGACTATGCTCGGATTTGGTGCCATGAATGAATGAGTAATTTAAAACCACACATGGACTCTTATTCAATTAATTAAGTCACATGGTGTATTGGGATATAATATATTAAAACTAATATATATCCTTACTTTGCGCAATGATAATGGTTGGAAATATTACATTTCGTTGTAGAGAAAAATACTTCTCATTTAATGACTTGCCTAAAAGTTTGATCTAGAGTTTTGGACCAAAATTCATAAGTAGAGGGTAGTACAAGGATAGACCCAGGGGAAACGTCACATAGAAATATAAAATTTTTCCAGTTATTTTTACTTAAGATTTTCCACAAATCAGAATAGAAAATAGTCTAAGACGTTGCAATGCAAGGAAAGACATTTGTGAAATGCAAGACAGAAAGTCGCATAAAGACATATTTAATTATTATTCAATTTCTCTACAAATCATTACTGAAAATCTTTTTCTCATACTTTTGTGGATTGAGCATATATAACTTCATAAGAAGGCCAAAATACCTCACTTTCATGCCATGGTGACACTGAAGTACAGTAGATGATAGACTTAAAGGTCAGATGACACGTATAAAACTATTTTTAAGCAGTTTTTCTTCCAGAAAATATAGAGCAGAGTCTAGAACAAACTTAATATTATTACCAAAGATGTATCTTATCAATACTAATTAGTGACAGAAAAAGTATGTATGTTCTACACTGCACTCTATGTTTCCCATAAGAAAAAAATGTGAAGAAAAAGGCATGTATTTTTGGCTTTTTTGTTAGCTAGAAAAAATAGCATTACTTTTCATGTCATTTACAGACAGTGAGTGCATTTTATTGAGAAAAATATATTGGAAATAATATCTAATATAATCTCTTTAAAAAAAAAAATAGAAATCAATTAAACATAATCTAAATATCATTCTAAATTGTTGATTTTTAGGGGGCCAAAATTAGCTCTCACATGTATCACATTTAGTCCTTTATCATTCTCTTCTGATTTTATTTATTGTCGTCTGACCTTAAGGCCAAGGTCAAAAGCTGAAAAAAATATTTATGTCATTTGAAAGGTCACTAATGTTTTAACTGATAAACAGACAGATGGACACTGCAAAAACCATATAGCGCCCCCCCCCCCAACTTGGATTATATGGGCTTAAAAATTTAGAATTTATGCTGCAATATGTAGATTCCAGGTAAGAATAGCAGAATTGGAATAATATTTTCTGTCATGAATTGAGTAGTCATAATATACACAAAAAATGAGCATGAAAGGTGCCAACATCAAGTTACCTGTAGTACTGTAATTTATATCTTAGTTTGACCATAACGCTACATTGCAAATATTGTGCAAATTATGGCGCAAGATTTTTTGTGCACTGTTGGGAGAATTTCTCCACTTGAACCTTTGTAAATCGTTCACCTTTCCCTCCATAACTCTAGACACATTATTTAAATGAATATGTACATTTTATACACATCCCATCCTTTATTAGAAGTCGTCTCTACCTATACTTGCTTGAATTAGAATTTTCTGCATCCCCTCACACATTTCAAATCAAGCCAGTTTATCCCTGTAAAGGCGTCTATAATGGGTTGATATGAGGATAAAATATACAAATTACCAGTAGTTTAAAAATGTGTATGGAGATTGGGGGTGAAAGGTAGATGATCGATTTATTAAAGTTGGAAAGTGGAGAAATTCTAAATACTGTGTAACAGGAAAGGAGAAAATTTACGGCTGGACCTGGATTCGAACCCAGGACCCCTGTATCTCTAGTCAGGTGCTCTACTAATTGAGGTATTCCCCAAACTATTACAACTGTGCAAAAAATCTTGCACCATAAAGTGCATGGTTTTAGCAAGAAAGGGTCTATGGTATTATGTTTAATATAAAACAATATGTTAATATTTGATATGGATATATTAATCTTACAATTAAGAAATTTCCTTATGTAAAATTGTTCACAAAGATTATATATGAATCCACTTAATTAAATACATTCCTTTTAAATATACTAGCTGATGAATTTTTTAAGTTATGATAAACTTGTCAGTATCATTTCTTAAAAGCCATTTATTATGATCTTTTGAAATATTTCTTAAGATTAGACAACTCATTGTGTATAATGGTCTGTGAGTGTAATATATGTATTTATTTCACTCATTGTACATTTTTAATCCAGGTCATCTTCAAGTTCCTCAAAATCGCTGTCGACTTCCTCTAGTTCCATATCATCATTATTAATTTCTTGCAGGAGGTCATCAACATTGAAGGCATCTGACAAGTCACTGGAATATTTAAAGTCAAAATCCATTTCCAAGGAATCTCCAGTTAGGAAGGCTCTCACAGCATGTAGATGTTTAATAGCATATTCATAAAATATTGCCTCCTTGATGAGGAAGGCTCTGAGTGGCTCCAATGCAGCATTTACTGATTCATCAATGCTGGAATGGAAAGACATATTCCAGTTAATGGCAGCATTGCATTCCGAGAGAACAAGGCAGCGCTCCTCCTTGGCCCTTTCTATAAGACAGTAAAGTGATACTGCCTCTGCCTTTAATGCATCCATTTCACCATTGTTGGAGGAGTGGGTTTCTTTGCACAGTGCTGGTAGGTCTTTCAAGGTAACGGTGTCTCGGCAAGATATGGAATTGTACTCTTTAATTCTCTTTTGTAGCTCTTTTGTAGCTTGGGAAAGCTGTTTATTTAGTTTTTTTGCAATGCTTTGTCCCTCTGAAATGATAAACAATTAAATAAGAATATTATTTGGTCTTCTGTAGTAGATTAACCATAAATTTATGGAGGGAATCCTGTTTTCTTGCAGTTTATATTGTTTTTAGTAAACTATTGAAGGTTTATTGCCTTGTTCAAGTAAACAGGTGGAAAGTTTGCGAACTTGGGGTGGTAAATTGTGTAGATCGAGCCCGATCGTAAAAGTTACCATAGTTTTCGATTTTTTGGAGTTAATTGTGTTATTTATTGTATTAAGTGGGGATTAAATGTCTATTTTTATGAATAATAAATAAACTGGGAAGGCTTGTAACTGCCAACAAACTGCCTTCCATTTTGACATGGGATATAATTCAAATTCTTTGAAGCAAATTTCTTCTAGAGAATTAAAGGACATTAATATTGTACTTTTAGATTATAGATACATGTGCATTATTCACATCATAAATACTTACTTGCGTACTTCTTAACAAGCTGAAGAAGATAAGTTCGCTCGTTCATTATTTTTTTCATGATATTTATGAGCAGCATCTCTTTCTTGTTCTTTGCCGAACTCAAATGATCCTTGAACGCTTGGTCATCTGGGGACCAATGAACCCCATACTTTTTTTCTATCAGAGTAATTTTCTTCTCAAGTCTATATATGTAAAGAAATTAAACATACAAATTATTTTTGTAGACAATGTTTCCCAGTGTCATATTATTGTCAGTTGTTTTTTTTTCAAATTCTTTACAGAATAATTATATTGTAAATAGTTTCGCAATAGTGAAACTAGCATTTCATTTAATGAGGTTCTTAACTGTTTTGACAAGATTCTTAACTATAATCTGTTTCTTTGCAGACCATTAAGGCCATAATAAAAATATTCCTAGATTCTCATCCTGTCCGCCTCGATTTCTTTTATTTCTATTTTTCGTCGTCTTAATTCTGATCGGGATCAGCATTCATCTACTTTTTAAATCCCTCGAGCTCGAAAGTAGACATGATTTAGACAGCTGAAAAGGTGGTTATTGTTGTGAATACATGCGTATATATATTTAAACAAGGGTCATTGGTTGAAGAAGATTGGTAATGATGTGAAGTAAGAGATAATTGAACCTTTACTATGACTTTTTTTCCGGGTATTGTAGATAAAATTACACCGATTGACCAGGTCAATGAAATCAGGTCCAGTCCCAAAACTATTTCTACATAGGTAGCTATTAATAGCTACGTAGGTATTCAAACCTACCCAAAGTAGTTATTTTTACCTACTTTTTTATTATCTACATTTTGCGGCCAAAAAGACTGATTTTTTGATACATGCAGTCACACTGATGATGAATAAGACAAAATTTTAACCAGAAATTGATTACATCCTGAATCGGCAATTTTACATTAGTTTCTATGCAAAAATGACCACAGGAGTCGGCAATTTTATAAATAATTAAAAAATAAATGGTAAACAGGCATAAATACTACTAGTGAGCTACGCTCGCGAAGCGCAGTGGTAGGATTTTTGCCTGTTTATCATTTATTTTCTATTTTATTGATAAAATTGCCGACTCCTGTGAAATGACAGTATACAAAGTATTCATTTTTTGGCCAAATTTTTGTCATATCCATCATTAGTGTGACTGTATTGAAAAATTCAGTGCTCACCATGCTGCCTTTGGCCACAAAATGCAAGTATAGCAAAAAGTAGGTAAAAATAGCTACTTTGGGTAAGTTTAAATACCTACCTAACTTTTAATAGCTACATAGGTAGAAATAGTCTTTGGACTGGACCTGAAAATATCTGCAAAATTGAAAAAAATAAAAGATATCAATTGAGGTACCCACCCACCTCAATTTTTAAAAAGATCCGGAGGAGAATCTAGCTATTTATTTATTATGGCCTTATTGTCTGTTTCAAACTCTTTACCACTCAAAAATTGTATTTTCCATTTCATACAAATACACAGCTTATTTTTTTGATACATTTCCTGATTTTTAAAGAATGTTTGTTAAAGAAGTTTCCAGAATGCAAAGCAAAATTTTATTTCTATTCGCAGCTCCGTGACGTCTTCCAATGTCATTGTTCTTTTTTTTTCTTTTTTTAATCAACTCCATATTATGTACATGTATTTAGAAACTGTTGTCTTTTAAACGAAGCTATATATTACATTTCCAGATAGCATCTTAGGTAATTCAACAAGAGTTAATTTATACATGTAAATTTTATATCGTTTCAGCTCAGTTTGTTAGAGGTATGGTTTTAAATACTATAAAGTGAAAACAGTGTTTCCCATAAGAACTGGCTACCGGTAAAATTGACCACTTAAACTGACAAAAATGCCGCTTTGAAAAAAATGTTCTTCTCCATGCAGCAATTACAAATAAACATCTTTTTAAGGATCGCGATGGCCTGACTAGGTTGTAGGCTACATACTTGAAATGTTTAAATTCATCAACTAGGATCAGAAGTATTTTAATAGAATTTACCTGTTGATTTCCTTGGTGTACTTAATTTCTAAGTCAACATTGGTTGTCGATTGTAAGGCACATTCAAATCTGCAAGGATATATGATAACAATAATACATTTTTCCCTTTATATTTTAGAAATAAATTCAATTAAAGTCAAAGCAATTGATGAGATAAATATGCATACTTTAGATTACTCAGTTCTGATCTAAACATCACATAATCCTCTTGCCAGGTGTATCCTATGGAAAAATATTAAAGAAAAGCCGTATGAATGTAAAATACTATATTTATTTTCTTCATAAAATATTGCTAATATTCGGACATGCAGTAATAGAATGTTCATTTACGAACCAGCATCTTTATCGCGAACTGTTTGATGCTGCTGCCTCTCTTCCTCATACCATTCTTTGACCCTATCTGTTGTCACTTCTGAAACCATAAATTAATTACAAAATTAAAAAAGGTCAATCTTGAAGGCCAAGGTCAAGAAGTCAGAAATCATAACATGCTCGGAAATCTCGTCATAGGTAATGCAAGTCAAATATGAAAGCCCTCTTCTCAATCAAAAGTTAAAAGAAACAAGATGCGTTTGTGAAGCACTGATAACCCTGTATTGAAACCAAGCGAAGATTACACTTTTCTTAAATGCAAATTTAATATATTGGTACAAAAATTTTAAAAAGAATGTCAAACTCCAAGGTAAAAGGGGCAAAGTTCTTGGTATCCAATGAAAGGTCTTGTCACAAGGATTACTTACATTAAGTATGAAAGCCTAAGTCTTTACCATTCAAAAGTTATGGCCAAGTTTAAAGTTTTTAATGAAACTCCAAGGTAAAAGTTATAAGTATCCAATGAAAGGTCTTGACACAAGGATTAAATATGTGAAGTATGAAAGCCCTACACTTAACACTTCAAAAGTTTTGGCAAAGATTAATGTGGGACAAGGTCAGGTTAGAAGGTCAAAGTTCTTCTTTTCCAATGAAAGGTTTCTCATAAGGATTACATATGTGAAGTACGAAAGCCCTAGCCCTCACTGTTCAAAAGTTTGGGTCAAAGTTAATTTTTTTCATAAGTATGTAAATCTCTCATGTCAAAAGATCAAAGTTTTTGGTATCCAATGTAAGGACTTACCTCATAAACTACATATGTGAAATATGAAAGTTTTAGTACATGTACTACCATTCAAAAGCTATGGCCAAAATAAATGTTTGGAATTTTTGTGTAAAAGTGGGTCAATCTCCAAGGTCGAGGTCAAAAGGTTGAATTTGGTGGTACTCAAAGAAGTCTTGCCACAAGGAATAGACATGTGAACATGAAAGTCATGGCTCCACTAAATCAAAAGTAATGGACAAGATTAAAGTTTTTGTGACAGACAGACAGACAGATGAATGAGATTTGATGTTCCCTCACTTTAACTGATTAAGGATGCAAGAGAAAACATTATTGAGTTATAAAATATATGTGACTCCTTTTTATGATTTTATATATATTTTTCTGATCATTAAATTTTACCTGGAAAAGGATTGAGGATTTGGTTGAGGAGATCCTCACTTTGCTCTAGGATCTGCTTTGCCCGAGCGTCTTTACGCAGAAACATTTCACCTTTGTATAGAAAGATTAGATTCACATTTATTGAGAATTTTGATAGGATATATATGTAATATACAGTTAAACACTCTTATAGTGATCATGCTTACAGTGATTTCCATTCCTCGGGGGTTACATACATAATATGAAGCTGACAATAATAACTATTAAGTTACTATATTTAAATATGAAACAAAGTAGTTCATCCCTGGCACTTTATTTTAAGGTTTTTTTTTGTTTAATATTAATTCTTTGAAGTAAAATATGTACATGTATTGTACATAAATACTCTTAAAGAGGAATAAATATTGGTCCTTAAAGGTACAAATTAAGGCATATTGATAAAAAATGAAATGAAATTATTGATGGGGGATTATTGATCTTAATCCAAATTCTTTCGAAAACGATTTGTGTCAAATTGATATGCAGTGTACATGTAGCTTACCTAAGTTTTCCTTAATTTTTTTGCCATAGTTTACAAGACCATCTACAAGGAGGTCTATTCTATTCTCTGGAGTCATCTCCTTCGTGATTTTGGAAAAGCCACCAAGATATGACCACAGTCGTTCAATTCCTTCACCATCAGAGAGCCCTAAGCCAATAGTTTTTCTTGGATTGTACATTACCTATAATCAACGAAAATGCAAAAACTAAAGGTAAGTTTTTGTTTATGTCATGACATCGAAAATCAAATGCATATAATATTGTAGTCAGTTCAGATCATTTTTTCTTTCCTTGTATGGGTAAGTAAAGATAAATGGTACATATATATATCCCATTAAATAAGAGATTCACTACATTGGATGGTTTTCATGGTTTTAACGAATTTAATTTGTTATTACAGATTCTTAAATTCGTTATAACGAATTTAATTTGTTATTACAGATTTGTGGAATTCGTTTTAACGAATTTAATCTGTTATTACAGATTTGTTGAATTCGTTATAACCAATTCAAGAATTTGGTTATAGCGAATTCAACAAATCTGTAATAACATATTAAATTCGTTATAACGAATTCAACAAATCTGTGATAACAGATTAAATTCGTTATAACAAATTCAACAAATCTGTAATAACAGATTAAATTAGTTATAACGAATTCAACAAATCTGTAATAACAGATTTAATTCGTTAGAACAAATTCAACAAATCTGTAATAACAGATTGAATTAGTTATAACGAATTCAAAAAATCTGTAATAACAGATTAAATTAGTTATAACGAATTCAATGAATCTGTTATAACAAATTAAATTCGTTATAACGATTTTAATAAATCTGTTATAACAAATTAAATTCGTTATAACGAATTCTAAAAATCGTTATAACGAATTCAAAAATATTTTTGATAGGTCCTAAATGGGCTTCCGTAGGATTTCCATCAATAACACAAAAAAGTGTTCTGATATTGACTGATATATAAATGCATTATAGTTCTTGACATTTTAAATCAGTTGTTTCATACCTTTAAATGTTTTTCAAGCACACAAGCTATGTCATATGTGACATGGATTTTTGTGTGGACTGGATGTGTTTGGAGAATGTGCTGAAGCAGAAAGATAGGGTATCCGAGCCTGTCAAGAAAGGAAAATTATCTGCAAATATTTAGGCATTAAATTAAAGAAAATAGTACAGGAAAACCTGTTTATTCTGACAAACACATACACATTGGTTTGTTATATAAAAGTCAATCTCAACTATCAACAGTACATTTTTCAATGACAAATTGAAAATATTTTAGCAGTTATTCTGTAAATTATTGTTTAAGCAAATAAATTTTCTGAATTTAATCTAATAAACACAATGTTCATGTAATACTAAAGAATGTACAAACCTTTCTCCATGACGAAGACTAAAGAATGCATGAGGAAATTCATGACGACATACAGAACCAAAAACAGCAGTTTCAGACAGTTTGCTGTTTTTCACCTTTGAGCGCAAGGCATTTCCTGCTTGGAATTCATGACAGTCCTTCATAAAAGAGAGTAAAAATTAAAAAAAAAACTTTAAAAGTACATGTAAAAAACAAATTTAATAGGGCATGGTAATCAGTTGCCTGATGAAGTACAAACTTATATTTTAAAAAAAAAAACGGTGTAATTTTTTTTTCTCTGGCATTTAGTAAAACACATGGTTTACTGAGAAAGAGTAAAAAGTATGGGAAATAAAAGACAAATGCTGGCCTGTAATATGTTACCAAAAAAGGAAGCTGGGTTAATTATTAAGCATAATTGTAACTGCTAGCCAGATATTAGCTAGATTGTAATTGTATATGTGACAATACATTGTACCAATCTGATTAAAATTAGATGTTAGATCTGCTTGCATACTCGCTACACTAACATCAAACAACATAGCATAGAGGGTCACGTCAGAGGTCGAATTCTGAACAACTTTAGACTTAATAGCTTTCACTACATCAACAAATGTGCAATGATTATGCCAGCGACAATTAGATTGGTTGATAGAATTTGACCTCTGACATGACCCTCTATGGGATGTTGTTAGATGCTGGTGTAGCAAGTGTGTGAGCGGATCTAACATATAATTTTAATTAGATTATACATTGTACTCAATTCTTCAGAGGTATTAAGATAGACAAAATATCCTTACATGTACTGGTTGTGCATTTTTTTCAGCTGCTGTACTTTGAAGGCTGCTGATAAAAGAGTCAACAGATTCCTGCTCAAGAAAAAATTGTCCAGAATGCTTAGGCTGTTCCCAAGATTTTCCAGATGAATTTTTACGCACAAGTTGGAAGTCGGCATCCATTGAAAAAACTTTTGTGTCCATCTAAAATATTTATGAATAGTTAATACATTACTCAGAGAAACCGGAACACAAAAATTGAACACTGAGAAAAGGTGAGTAATTATGCCAATGCCAATCCCCTGGGGGTCATAATTTGAACAAGGTAATGTCAAAGGGAATATCTAGAGAAAATCTTCAAAGTTGAAGGGGATAATAAATTTTCTAGATAGAGATATTTAGAAAAAAATCTCTCTAAAAACTTTCCTCACAAAAAAGCAAATTAAGCCATGATTGGTCATATTTGTATTGACTGGAGTAACCTCAGGTAGTTAAGACTCAAGTTTGTTAAAATAATGACCACTGGAAGGCAGGATGAGGCCAAAAGGTGCAATCAGGGTTTTACATTTGAATTAAAATAAGTTTTAAAATTTTTCCTAGCAATAGTGCCCAGATGATTAATGTGGCCCATGCACGGGGCTTTGGGTGTGAGGGTCTTTTTTATTTTGGATATTTATACAATTTTTTTTATTGGTTTATAATATATTTCTTTATGTATTAACATTTAAAATTTCATCAAAACATATGTTAGAGATCCCAGTGCAACATTTACCTTAAAACATGCAGGGCATTCTGTGCCATTGTCTAATTTAATTTGCCCAACATCACCATACTGTTGCTGATACCAAAAATATCTAAATTGCTCTGTGGTTTCTGTAACCATTACTTTGTACACGTTCAAAATCTGTTAATATAGATACTATATTGAGAAATATATATTCTACAATGGCATGCAATTTTTAAAGGATGAGGTGACTTGCGGCCCCAGGTAAATTGACAAAAAATTAAATGTCTAAATTTTACTTAAATTTTTTATGTAGCTAATCACTAATATATATAACAAAAATAGAAACAAGATTTGAAAGATATAGTTCTTTTATTGGGGCAGGGGTATTATGTTTACATCCAATTCCCATTGCATTTTAACCCCGCCCCACTCTTTGAAGCCCTTAAAATATACAAGCCCAGTTAGGTACAATTTTCTCCTTTGGCTGGTCTCTGTATTTTATTGAAATCTACCTATATGTGAAAGGAGAAAATTGTACTTAACTGCGCTCACATGCCATTTAAAAAAAACTGTTAAATCTAACTTGCCTTCCCCATTATGAACAGATCGACAGAACTAGATTTTCTGACGTAAGAATAAATTCATATGCTAATCGAGACACTGGCTATACGTTCTAACTGACCAATCAGCTAAATGAAATTCGTTACAAGTACCACAAAAACACTATGGAAACATGCTTGGAATTTTACTGCTTTCCGATATTTTTTAATAATTTTGAGTCACAGATTAGACACAAATCTACATATGAACAGTTCCCAAGACCACAGTAAAATTTATATACAGTTACAAACATTCGATAAATATACATTACATTAAAGTTTTGTAGCGTGTTTAGTGAGCAATTCCCTAGGACTACACATATTCCCGAGTATCAGTGAATACAAGTTTCATGTGCATTTCTTGTCCTAAAAACAGTAAATGCTGAAAATCCATGCATATTATTATACATATAAACAGCCTTGGCTAACCATTATAAAAGTTTGAAATATACAAAAGGATAACAGGTAAATTGACCTCAACCACGTGTCTGTGATAAAATGTAAACATAGTAAACCAGCATGTTTTGTTGTTCTGTCACCGGATTGGACCATTACTATGTGCGATATAATAGCAATAGTCATATAAGGTCTTCTCGAACTCACATATCCCTCTATTGTACTTAGAACCGCCCATTCTCTTGCCATAAAAGAACATTTTTTCACAAACCTGGCCAAATATGTCTGAACTATTGAAACTATTCAAAAGGCGTCGTATTTCTTCACTCATGTTTGAAAACTACCAATATTGTTGTACATTAAATATCATTCGTCGTGGAAAAAGGGGCCCCAGATAGCAGTTATGTCACATCATCCTTTCTGGACATTCATCAGTTATTGGATTGTCACGAGAAATTTTATTTCTTAATTGATTGATGAATATAAAGGCTAATTAATGGTATATGATGAAGCTTTGAAAATATTCTTTTAATTCACTTAAATATTTTATTGTATTGATCTGTTATATGTACAAATAGATTTGACAATGACCGTCATGTAATACCTCTTTTTTGGTATAGCCAACTTCATGTTTGGATTGAGGTGTGGAAAGGGCTGTGACGAAACTTCTGAGACTAAGATGACCCTCCAACAACAAACCATAAAACCATTTCATCAGCTCAAAGTCAAATGCTATGGTAGGGTTTTTTGGAGAAGATGGCCAGAGTTGATGACGCACCAGTGTAACAGCCTCTGGTTCACATCGGCAAAAAAGAATTGTCCTCTTGTGTTGTCGGCCTTCATTAAAGTAGTAAATATTGTGAGTTCAATGCAGAACAATGAATGCAAAGACAGGAAAAAATCAGTAACTGGGACTTCATTAGTCAAATTATTCTAAAAGGAATTACCTAAAGAATCCACCACAGCCAAAGTTTTTGAATAGAGAGAGTTGCATTCATGGGACTCTCGTTTCCAGGTGGGAGTCTCGCAGTCATATCCGAGATAGGTCCCATTCTGAGGGGGAAAAGAGAAAATATTGAATAATGAATTTTTCCTAGTGATCTGCCAATATAAACTGATTGATGTAAGAAACATTATATGTGGTTCTATATATTGGTATTTGATTGTGTAAAAATGTGCCACCATGGTTAGGTGAAGATAATTAATTAAAATAGTGTGTTTCCAATTCCAAGCTAAAAAAATAGGGTAGGTAAGTAGGTGATAGATTCTATTTAAAAATTTACTTTTTTTGACCCAGTAAAGGAAGTTTCCAGGGGTATATAGTTTTTGTCGTGTCCCTCTGTCTGTCTCTATGTTAGTTTGTCTACAAAAACTTTAACCTTGCCCATTACTTTTGATTTAGTGGAGCTATGACTTTCATTTTTCACATGTGTATTCCTTGTGACAAGACCTTTTTGGGTACCACCACATTTGACCTTGGAGTTTACATGAAAATTTTAATTTTTTACTTTGGCCATATCTTTTGAACAGTAGATACCAGGACATTTACACTTAACATATGTAATCTTTATTGAAAGACCTTTCATTGGATACCTACAATCGTGACCTTTTGAACTTGACCTTGAAGATTTCCGTACTTGTGAAAAACTTTAACCTTGGCCATAACTTTTAAAGGGTAAGGGATAGGGCTTCCATACTTAATATATGTAATCTTTTTGGATACTTAGCACTTTGACCTTGACCTTTGAGATTGACCTACTTTAAAAATGCAAACATTGACCACAACTTATAAAAAGTTAGGGCAAGTGCTTTCATACACTAGATGTTTTAATCTTTGTGACAACACCATTCATAACTTTCAATAATAATAAATTTGACCCTTTGACCTTGGAGTTTGACTTACTTTTTAAAAAGATTGAACTTTGGCCATAACATCTGAACAGTTAGGGCTAGAGCTTTCAAACTTTACATAAGTATTCTATGTGGCAAGTTAAAATTGTTTTCCTGTGAGAACACACTATTTTTGGTATTAAGTACCAATTAATTAAATTTGCATTTAAGAATAGTTTAATCTTTGCTATGTTGCCATACGGGGGCATTAGTGTTTCACTAACACATCTTGTATTTACCTATATTTTTCTCCATTTTTTCTCCATTAATTTTTTTTAGGATCTGAAACCTGTAATTTTCTGAAAGCGAACAAAATTTACAATGGTCATGCAAAAATTGAAATCTTCGTTTGAAAATTCTCCTTTGTGCATCACAGTGTCTTTTTTAAAATCTGGATTTGTTTACCTGTACTTTCAAAAAGATATTGGTATTTAAAATTTTTAGAGTCAGCTCATATATTTCAGGGTTGCTCTGTGAACTGGAACATACAATCTAATTATATATATATAATATATATATAAGGCCTTAATAAAAATTGAAATTTCATTTTTACTATGAAATGGTTTATAAATGGAATAATTTTTATTAGCTCACCTGAGCCAAAGGCTCAAATGAGCTTTTCTGATCACATTTTGTCCGGCGTCCGTCTGTCTGTCTGTCTGTCTGTAAACTTTTCACATTTTCGACTTCATCTCAAGAACCGCTGGGCCAAATTCAACCAAACTTGCCACAAAGTATCCTTGGGTGAAGGGGATTCAAGATTTTTCAAATGAAGGACCAGGCCCTCATTCAAGGGGAGATAATTGGGAATTTATGAAAATTTGGTGGCATATTTTAAAAATCTTCTTCTCAAGAACCACTGTGCCAGGAAAGATGAAACTTATGGGGAAACATCCTCAGGTAGTGTAGATTCAAGTTTGTTAAAATCATGACCCCCGGCGTAGGGCGGGGCCAAAATGGCCGACCAAAGTTTTACATAGAACTATATATAGGAAAATTCTTTAAAAATCTTCTTCTCAAGAATGACAAAGCCATAATTGATTATATTTATATGGAAGCATCCTCAGGTAGTGTAGATTCAAGTTTGTTCAAATCATGACCCCCAGGTGTAGGGCGGGGCCAAAATGGCCGACCAAAATTTTACATAGGAATGTACACGTATAATAAAATTCTTTAAAAATCTTCTTCTCAAGAATAACAAACCATAATTCATCATATTTATATGGAAGTATCCTCAGGTAGCATAGATTCAAATTTGTACAAATCATGACCCCCAGGGGTAAGCAGGGTCAAAATGGACGACCAAAGTTTTACATAGAAATGTATAGGAAAATTCTTTAGAAATCTTCTTCTCAAGAATAGCATAGCCATAATTGATCATATTTATATGGAAGCATCCTCAGGTAGTGTAGATTCAAGTTTGTTCAAATCATGACCGCCAGGGGTAGGGCGGGGCGAAAATGGCCGAGCAAAGTTTTACATAGACATATATAGGAAAATTCTTTAAAAATCTTCTTCTCAAGAATAACAAAGACATAATTCATCATATTTATATGGAAGCATCCTCAGGTAGTGTAGATTCAAGTTTGTTCAAATCATGACCCCCAGGTGTAGGGCGGGGCCAAAATGGCCGACCAAAATTTTACATAGGAATGTATAGGAAAATTCTTTAAAAATCTTCTTCTCAAGAATAGCAAAGCCATAATTGATCATATTTATATGGAAGCATGTTCAGGTAGTGTAGATTCAAGTTTGTACAAATCATGACCCCCAGGGGTAGGGCGGTGCCAAAATGGCCGACCAAAATTTTACATAGGAATGTATAGGAAAATTCTTAAAAAATCTTCTTCTCAAGAATAGCAAAGCCATAATTGATCATATTTATATGGAAGCATCCTCTAGTAGTGTAGATTCAAGTTTGTACAAATCATGACCCCCAGGGGTAGGGCGGGGCCAAAATGTGTAGGAAAATTCTTTAAAAATATCTTCTCAAGAATAGCAAAGCCATGATTGGTCTTTGGACTTCTTTTGGATTTTAGCTTTTCAAGTATGAACCAATTCTGCTTCTTCCTAGCCACAGTGCTCAGGTGAGTGATGTGGCCCATGGGCCTCTTGTCTCAGACTTGTTAGATGAAAAAGGAACTTTTCTAGAATTAAAAGGTCTAAAAGCAGAATTTAATATAGAAACCAACTAAACATATGCAAGCTTACAGAAAGCCGTAAAAGAAGCGATGGCTGTAGAAAAAGTCAACAAGGAAAGATTAAATCCAAGGTCCATTCTACCTTTTTATTTAATTTTATTCTGTTTATGTTCATAGATTTTGAGAAAAAAAAAGATTCTTTTTATTGTTTGATGGCTTTTTCATAGGCAACAAATTTCAATCGTTGTGAGGCTTTTTTAAAATAATGTAGGTTATTGTTTGATGAAGTAAATTTTGATATTTTTGACATTTTCATTTTATGTTTTTTGTACTATAGGCAGTTCACTTTCCTTGTTTGCTGATCTTCTAACTTGAATTTAACAATCCAAGAATTTAGGCAAAGCACATTTTGTCTACTAGTATTTTAAATATAATGCAGTACTAATATGGTATAATTATCCATTACAGAAGACAACGAAGGAAAGAACTAGTACCTTCCATCCTTCAAAGATATGTAAGTGAGGTCTGCCATGTGCAGCCTGCAGGCAGCTCAAGCAGACTGGATCTCGCATACAATCGATGCACCTGAACTTTTCTGTGAGTTGTTGATGACATACGGAGCAGTCGTTAGTTGTTGGACAGAAAGACTCTAGTTGGGCTTTTGTAAGCAGAGGCATGACTCTGGTCCACTCAGTTATTCTGCTCTGCTTTGTTTCATTGTAATCTATATTATGAAAGATTGTTGGTTAAATAGATTTTCAATATAAATTAATATGAATTGATCAATTATCGTGGTATGCTTGATTTGCTTGGTGATGTCGAATTCTATGTCATCTGTCTGAGAACTTCTTTAAAAGAGTATTCGGCTGCATCAGATTTTCAGGACCAGTTTAGAGATCAGCTTCAAAGAAACTAATCAATGTATTTTTTTCAATCTTCTTATGCAGATACATGATGAAAGCTATTCAAATACATCAATATTAATTGTGAACTTAACCATTCTTTTGCAGAATTTTATCAAATTAGTGTTAAAAAAGAAACATTCATGAAAGCTAGTGTAATCAAATTTTATATGCTGTTGAATATCAATAATGCTATTCAACTGTAGATCTTCTTAAATATTTTTTTACTTAATTGGGATTTCATTTCAACTTTACCTCACTTTTTTTAAATTGGTGTTTTAACTCGATTTAAATTAAGAAACAATTCAAGATTTTTTATCAAATTTCATTTGTTGATAGATTATGTATGATGAGAACTTTTGTTTGTTTTGAAAAATTTTATTAAAAAAAATGTCAAAAGGATTTGACACAGGTCCAAGAGCTTTTCCATGGACTGCAACATTATTTTTCTTGAATTTTTGTTTGACCTTGACCTCATTAATTGAAAGAAATTTCTCTAAATCAAAAGCTGACTGAAGGAATATTTCCTGTCATTGGTTTGATATCTAATTAAAAACCAGTGGATAAATGTATACATGTTAACTTAAGGAATCACTGTCTAGTTAGTGTAGTATGCCAGGGCATCAACGATAGTGGGAAACATGAGATAATTTGCATTAGGGGTGAAGCCTGTTGTGCATAAATTATCCCATGTTTCTCATTACCCTTGATGTCCCTAGCATACTTTACTAATTAGACAGTGAATCCTTATATTTCCATTTCATTGTGAAATGAAATTGTAGATCTAAACTTTAAAAATGTACAGACTAATCGATTAAATTACACAAGGACTCCAATGGCAATTTCAATAGCCCTCGCCCACTGACGTCAAACACAAAGGCAGTTGCACAAGTTTTACATGTATATTTGGCCTCCTTAGCGTCAGACACAGAGACAGATGCACATGAGATCTGCATGCATATAAGCCATCTTAGCTCCCGACTTATCGACCTGCCTAATTAACATTACTGCAGAATTATCAAGAAATAAACTCCCCTATAAACTTTCAAAGAGTTATCACAGAGAAAGAAATTAGAAATGGAAACATTAAGACTATGTATCTGTTACAAATTTTTGTTGCAACTTTTCTTGACAACTACTCTTTGATGATGCTTGAAATTTTAGTGTGCTAAGTATTTTTAGTTCACCTGAGCCGAAGGCTCAAGTGAGCTTTTCTGATCACATTGTGTCCGTCGTCCGTCTGTCTGTCCGTCGTAAACTTTTCACATTTTCGACTTCTTCTCAAGAACCACTGGGCCAATTTTGACCAAACTTGGTACAAAGCATCCTAAGGTGAAGGGGAATTCAAATTGTTAAAAGGAAGGGCCAAATCCCTTAACAAGGGGAGATAATCAAGAAAAGACAAAAATAGGGTGGGTTTATTAAAAAATCTTCTTCTCAAGAACCACTGGGCCAGAAAAGCTGAAACTAATGTGGAAGCATTCTTGGGTAGTGTAGATTCTAAATTGTACTAATCATGACCCCTGGGGGTTGGGCGAGGCCACATTGAGGAATCCAAGTTTTACATAGAAATATATAGGAAAAATCTTTAAAAATCTTCTTCTCAAGAACCACTGGGCCAGAAAAGCTCAAACTTATGTGGAAGCATCCTGGGGTAGTGTATATTCTAAATTGTCCAAATCATGACCCATGGGGGTTGGGCGGGTCCACAATGGGGAATGCAAGTTTTACATAGAAATATATAGGAAAAATCTTTAAAAATCTTCTTATTCTCGAGAACCACAGGGCCAGAAAAGCTCAAACTTATGTGGAAGCATCCTGGGGTAGTGTAGATTCTAAATTGTAGAAATCATGATCCCCGGGCGTAGGGCGGGTCCACAATGGGGAATCCAAGTTTTTAATAGAAATATATAGGAAAAAACTTTAAAATCTTCTTCTCAAGAACCACTGGGCCAGAAAAGCTGAAGCTTATGTGTAAGCATCCTGGGGTAGTATAGATTCTAAATTGTTCAAATCATGACCAATGGGGGGGGGGGGGGGGGGGGGGGGGTAGGGCGGGGCCACAATAGGGAATCAAAGTTTTACATAGAAATATATTGAACAATCTTTGAAAAGCTGAAACTTATGTGGAAGCATCCTGGGGTAGTGTAGATTTCAAATTGTCTAAATTATGATCAGTGGGGTAGGGTGGGGTCACAATATGTATTACAAGGGGGGAATCTAGTAAAGAACAAAATGGTCAAAGCTTCTTAGGTGAGCGATGTGGCCCATGGTCCTCTTGTTTTTTTATTATTTTTTTTTTTGCATGACTCGTATGGTGGGATTAATTTCTGAAGGATAAAGTTCACTTACTGTTTCAATGGTGTGTTCCCGTTTTGCATACATTTGATAATTAGGTATAAACAATGGGTGTTAAGTGTGTTTTGATAGCAATTCAATTATAGTCTGATTTCTGGTTAGGATTTACCTGGATTTACCTGTGAATACCTGATTTAGCTTAAAATATTCTTAAGAAGTTTAAAACAATTTTATAAGCATTTTATTAAAATTCTATATATATTCATGAAAAAAAATTGATTTTATTGAATATTTTGTAAAATAAATTATTAATATTTATTTTTTTATGTCCAATTTCTTAAGAAAAGGATACTTTTCAATCTTTTTACTTTTCAATCATGATAAAATACTAAATGAATTAAAGATACAAAAAAAAAATAGATAATAAAAATTAATTTGAAAATAACGCCCAAGCCCAGAAGGTCTTATATAATCAGATAATTATAACATAAAATGACTATATTAAATGCTTAAACTTTGTATTTATTCTCTTATTTTTTCACTATAAGTTCACCTTTAACCTAGTACTTACTTAGTATGGTATAGACTATAGCAATTAAGTGATTATCTCACCTGGTCCAATTTTTCACATTCTTTAATTACCTGTTATTCAAATGTGTGAAAAAAGGGAACAAACCATTTCAATGTGTATCTGACTCTAACACATTTATACCACAGCTGGGGGGGTGGGGGGGTGGGGGGTCAGCTTCTTAAATCTGCCACTGTTATGTCTGTGTAGTTTTAGTAATAAATTTGTGTTCATACATGGCTCAACAGTTATAATAGTAAATTTATTATATATTATATAATACCTCTGGACTTCTTGTTTTTATTCTCAGCAATAGGAACACTGGGTTCTGGTATTTTACACGCAGGAGGTGAAAGGGTGCTGCAGGGGGAGGTGGATTCGGTCTTTGTACCTCCAACCTTAACTGTTATAGTCTTTTTTCTACCATTTGGCTGGAACACTTGGTATTGAACAGTTCTTTTTCTTTTTCTAATCATAACTGTAAATATTAAGCTATTATAAAAGAGAGAGGAGTATAAGGGTATATATATAATTATGAGGAGACAATTTTTACCCCCTAAAAATCAACATTTATTTAGAATGATATTCAGATATGTTTTATTAGTATTTGGGCCATTCCAAGTTTTTTTTCTATGTTTAGCGCCTTGGTTTTTGACACACCATGTCAGAGAAACAAACAGAATTAAGAGTCCAAAAATACATTATTCAGGTCAAAATTTGTGACTTCTGGCAATATCTCTAAATTTTTGTATAATTTTCATTATTGGAATAGTTTCAGTTTTTAATAATTTGATTTTGCTGAATAAAATAACTTTGTTTATGAAAAAAAGATTTTAAAAAATTGTATCTTTTGAACTACATCATTCTTATTAGACCATAATAAAAATGTTCATAGATTCTCATCCCCGCCCTCCTCGATTTCTTTTATTTCTTTTATTTTTTGTTTTTCTACGGTTTAATTCTGATCGGGATGGGTATTCATCTACCATTCTACTTTCGTTTTAAACCCCGCGAAAGTCGTCATGATTTTAAACAGCTGAAAAGGTGGTGATTGCTGTTATACATGCGTACATATTGTAAACAAGGGCCATTGGTAGAAAAAAATTGGTGATAATGAGAAGTAAGCAATAATTGAACCTTTACTATGACTTTTATTCGGGTATTGTAGATAAAATTACACCGATTGACAAGGTCAATAAAAAATTTGCAAAATTAAAAAAAATTAAAAAATATGAAATAAAAGCCGCCCAATCGCCTCGATTAAAAAAAAAATCGGATGAAAATCTAGCAATTTATTTATTTTGGCCTTACTATGAAATATGTGTTTTATTTTTTTGACTTGTGTGTTTTTTGCAAATATGTAGCTAGGTTTTTGAAATATGGGTGGACGCTAAACAGAGAAAAACTTGGAATGGCCTTATTTTGTAGAAGAAATTATATAATAAACATTTAATATATTAGATTTAAAAATTTAGAAAAAATTTACAGAACCCGCTTACGCGGGTTATGTATTTTTCTGCCACAGCTGCTTCCGTTCATTAAACTATAGTTTAATGGCCTTGTCATCAGTGGAGGATTTAAGGGGGGGGCACCCGGAGAGCCCCCCCCCCCCTTAAAATGGTCTAAGTTAAAGTAAATCACAAAATGTAAACTACTAGGTAGGCCTCATTTTTATCCTACAAAATCTATAGAATCCAGGGATTCCGGGGGCTTCGCCCCATGGGCCCCCACCAGGACCTTGCCCTGTACTAACTGGGGGCCTCAAGGCGGCCCTCAGACCCCTTGCCTACTTTTGGGGCCCATTGTAACATCAATTCCTGGATCCGCGCCTGGTCAGTAACAATAAAACCAAGTACTGTTAAAACATAGCATATTGAACAGTTGGAAATTTCTTTACACATATAAATTAAAAAGGTTTGCATATGGATGGATGTCTATTTGGAAAGATAAGGGGGCCTTTTGATTCTGAATGGGGGGAGGGGTGCAATTTTTAGGGACAATCGATAGATTATTTACCCGGTATTTCCAGTCCATTCAAGGACAGATAATGTTTTTTCAAGGAATATTATCGTTTCCAAAATCTCCCCCCCCCCGTTTGATTCAAATGGTAGTCCAGATATAAAAATGCCCTTGAAATATGCCACCGGGGTCAGTGGACATTTATTAGCACACATGAGGTAGATTTAAAAATACAGAAATGAAACTAAATCTAAAGGCCTCTACTGATTTTTTTTTTTAGAATTTAACACAATTAGGCCTGTAATATTACCTTTGATTGTTTCAGGGTTTAAAAGAGTCCTAGCACCAAGAATCCATAGATTTTGATGACGTCATTCAGAGTAAAAAATTGAAATTAAAAAAAGGCTAGTCTAGAGGTACTGTGTATATCATGTAATGAGATTTTAAAAAAAAATAAGTAAAGGTAGTGTATAATAAATTATATTTAATCATTAAAAATTTAATGAAAGAACAAGGAAGGTCAGAGTTAAAGTTTATAGGTTAAACTTGTTTATAATATACAACTCTTTTTATTAAAAGTATTTGTCATTCCGTGAGAAGCCTCTTCTTCTAAAAGTCTTTTATCAGTGGTCTCTTCTTCTGTTACAATTTCTTCTAGTAAGAGGGTGTTATCATTCCGTACGGAAGGAGGGAATTCCACAGGCTTTTTCTATAAGGCTAGAAGATATGATAAATTTCTTTTAGTAAAAGGTGATAAGTGTAAGGATGGGGTGAAAAAATAGACAAGTATATAAAGAAAAAAAGAATGAAGTAAACATAAAATCAGTAAATATATACATGCATATGGTGGATTCAAGATGAACAGACTGTTATGAAATATTTTTTTATAAATTTTGACAAAGGACAAGATAGGGTAAGAGCTCTGTGTTCAGTGTTCAGTGTTCTGATTTTTACATCAAATAAGGGGCCAGATTCGGCTGTTACCCTATCTTGTCCTTTTATTTTATAATTCTTCATTATTCGTGTTCGTAAGTATTAGGATTTCTACAATGTGTACTATAAACAAAATCAACAAAGGCGTAATGCATGTTCATTATGACAAAGGAAGTCCTTCTTTTATATATATACAGCTATTCATAAATCCTTTCACTGATTCCAATGAATCTGTTTATTGGCCATTAAAACGAAGTAATTGAATAGAGAAAATAAAAGACATATTGAAAACCAATAGATTAAAACAAAAAGGAAAAAAATCTTTAAAATTTTAATTTCTATTCTCAGTAGTCATATGCATTAAGTTATAACTGTCCTTTCTGACATATTTCATTTTTTTAAAATAAATTATTATACTTCTTTTAAAATGTTTCCTATCTAAAGTTCAGAGGGTAAAATAACTATCCTGTATAGTCCATGCATAGCAAAGCTATACCCCGGGGTATAGTTTTTGCTATCCACCCTCGGAAAATTTTCATGCAATTGTTGCCGCCAATTTTGATTTCCAGCGATAAATCTTTAAACTGATGATGTCATAATGACTTCAGTTGCATTGTGACGTCATCAGGATTTCTGATTATTCTTGCAGAATTATCTTACTCCAAAAAATTCAAACCTCAGAAATTATGTTATACATCAGTATAATAAAACGCTTATCCACTGGGTGCGAGGGGGATAGCTCTTTTATGAAACCCTTGACAGGAACTATTCCCCTCGGGCAAGCCCTCGAGGAATAGTTCTCTGTCGCGGGTTTGATAAAAGAGCTATCCCTCTCGCACCCAGTGGATAAGTGTATAATAGAACCCCAGTCACAAAAGCCAGGGTCGCTCGGCATTATTTATTACTTACAATATACTAAACCCGGCTCTTAATTATAAGCCAATGTTTAATTTCTCTGATACAAAAAGTTTACAAACTTCATTATTTATTTTTCACAGAACACAGAGACCCAACTTTCATAGTTTAAGTACATGTGGTCCATTCACTTTTCAAATACACGCATTACTTTCGAATTTATGCAATAATTCTTTTTTTTTTTTTTTTAAATGGCCATCATCATTCTACATTTCCTAAAACATATTATTACTTCCTATTTTTGCTATAAAGTTCATTTTTGTTCATTTCCTCTAAAATGAGTCCATAAACAATTAATTAACAAATTTAAAAAAATATATCTAGAAACACCCACATGCCAGCATTACATTTCCCCCATTTCGTTTGAACCTTATATGTTATCCTTTGCATTCAAACTACATAAGACGTCACCAAGTGGTTTACGAAAATAAGTTGACCTTGATGCAACATAGACTAAATCATGGCATTTTCTGTCATAATTTTGCTTTCTTTATTGTTTTTTTCATACGGTAAACCATCTCTACTTAAATTACATTTTTTTATTTAAATGAAGGCGAAGTCGAAAATTGAAGAATAGAACGTATAAAGAAATTATGTTATTTCTTCTAGGTAAACTTGACGTTTCTTTGAAGTCTCCCTCAATTATGAGTGGAAATGACAGAGCTAGAGTACAATGCAGAGTTAATGGAAGCTACGACTTAGTGGAAATAAAAGTTTCCTCTTCTATAGTGTTTACCGCAAACATGATTTTACAGGAATGCTCGGTTTATAAAAGTATTGTCAATGTGTCATGCTGTGATTTCAATCTGAATTTATTCTGTTTGGAAGTAATGCAACCTGAACATGACAGTGCTCTTGAGTGTAAGGCTGTAAAAGGGCAAATAAAAATCACCGCCTATTCAAAGATAAAAATTATAGGTATATTTATTTCTTTGAATTATATGCTTGTAAATAAATATTTTAAAACAGATAACTCAAGGAGGAAAACATAAATTCTTCTATATTTTATATAAATTTCTTAGTTTCAGTCAACTTTTTATTTTTCGAGCCTTTGGATCAAATTATTGATATTCAAGAGGGAGACGTTGCTCAATTCAATTGCTGTACATCACCTTCAAGACCCGTACCCTCAATTTCTTGGTTTCTAGGTGAAAGGCAAATTTTAAAGAATACGAAGACTTCTATCGAAGACTTAAACAACAGTACATTTTCTGTGTGCAGTATGCTTCATCTAAAAGGTACAAGGATACTACAGGGAACGCTGATTCAGTGTTTAGCATCTCAAAATTCTACAAATGAAAAACCATTAATGAAAAGAAGATCAATCAACATTTTATGTAAGTTTTCTTTCAATTATTGATATCTTTTGGGTAAACGATCCGGCCATTCCAAATTGAAATTGTTTCCTTTTCATATAATATAAAAAATTCGCCACTTTTTATATTTAAAAGCTTTCAGTTTAAAGGGTACACGGCATGTACCAGAAAGTCCTTACCAATAATTTTTTTTTGTCTGACAAGAGGAAACAATGAAACATTTAAGATGATTTTTTTTATTATCATGGAAATTGGACTAGTAAATTTTAAAGCAACAATATACTGTAAAATTTAAATCCATCTGTAAATCTTTGTGAAATACAAGGTTGGCAAAAGATGCATTAAACTAGGATCAAGGCTTGCATTCTTATCATAATGATCATATTTGGTGCATACCATGATTTAGATAAAAATTAAATATCTCTGTGACACGATTATTTAAAAGAAATGCATCTATATTGAAGAAAAATATCGATCTGATATACCAAAGAAAGAACCTTGCCTAGAAAATAGAAATATATAATGATCTTTTTTTATTAGATCGGCCTTCTGTGGAGACAAATTTCAAATACAGAAAAGTTTTGCTTGGGCAGACTAGAGTTAATCTGATTTGTAGAGTCATCGATGCAAATCCGTTACAGGATCTTGCATTTCGGTGGACTCGTCAGAATTACAGTGTCAGTAATGGTTCAGTCTTTACAGTAGGAATGATTGAGAGCAAACACGCAGCTGAATACAAGTGTCGAGCTCGAAATACTGTAGGATGGTCTGAACCAGCAAGTTCGATTCTGGAAGTCGTGTGTGAGAATGTTTTCTTTTTTTGAGCACTAAACTTTTGATGCTGAAATGAACTTCCTTAAATATATATTTCATGAATTAATCATTCATAACTTAATAAATAAGAGTGCGTATTTTTAAGATATACCATCTGCAAAAGTGGTTGAAGAGGTGGTTAACGTACGCTTAGGTGATGAAAACGTCACACTTAAATGTGTTGCTGAACATATAGAGCCAACATGGAAGGTGAATTACACATGGACTAAAGAAAAGGCTGTGCTAGGTGACTCTTCGGTTTATGTCATTCCTTTGATACGGCGATCTAGTGCCGGGGTATACAAGTGCATTGTGACAAACAGTTTTGGAAGCTCTGTCCCTGCTTTGGTTAAACTTAACACATTAGGTAAATTTATTATTCATATAAAATTTGATTTATTTTAAAGTAGCATAAAATACACAAAAAGTTGAATTTTTTATAGTTATACCGCTACCTTATGATTACAGATAAATATCAGTCAAGTGTAAATGTTAAAAGTGTGACACAGAAAGTTAACTACATATCTTTTCAAAAGAAATGAAAGAACAAAAGTTTTGCGCGATTATTGACAAAATCATTGTTGCTAAAAATGGATAAGTTTGTAATTCGGATTTCTTATATACAGTGTATGTTAGAATTGTAATGCATGGACTTTATAAACGCATGTCTTCAGTATACTAAATAGTCTTTAAATATCTCTGGATTTTACAGATTCTTATGTGGACATAGAAGGATTCTATAGAAGTGGCGATGAGGAACAAAAGATTTACGTTAAATGCAGTATAACGAACCAAGCCAAGTTCAGAGCTGTTACTTCCTTAAAAATAATACAACGTTCAACACACACAAATATTCTTGTGACAATCAACCAAGCAGGAAATATATGGACAAATCGACAAAACGTTTATGTTGCAGGAAATATTTCAAATCCTGAAATTGCATTTTTGGAATTATTAATTACGAAAAATAACATTATATGTCCAGGAGATTTTACAGAATATTTCTGTAGATGTGTTGGTGTTGACAAGTCTTCTTCTCCAATCATCGACGAAAGTAAAATACTGCCGATTGAGTTTGATGGTAAACGACTACAAATTACACATTTCTGGGCGTGGTATTGAGATTTTCTAGAAATATCTGATATATTAAATCAATCAGATTAACTTTATACATCATGCACATGAAAATAATTTCTATGCCAAATCAACTGGGTAAAAAAATACACAATGATTATGCTTTAAATTTCTTAATAAGAAATATTAAGTCTCTAAATCTTCAAAAAAGTTCTAGAGTAAAGTTTCTTTGTAAATCAAAGTATTTACTACTGGGTATGGTGAGCCATAGTAAACTTTAGTTACCTATATTTAAGTTTTTGTTAGATTTATGGCGAAGATTAAAGTTTCTTAGAATATTTAAGTCAAACTGCAAAGTTAAGAGACTAAAGAGGTTGTAACCCGAAATCCGATTGATCAACGGCCTTTTAAGAAGAAATACATCTTTAAATATGAAAGCCCCAGTACTCACTTTTCTAAAAGTTATGTACATGCATTTCAAAGTGGGTCACACTTTAAAGTCGAAGACAAAATTTCACTCATTTATGGCCACATACTGTAGATTCTTTCTAGACTGCTAAGTGAAGTTTATTTGAATAATTTAATAAAGTTACACGTATTGAACGTTGTTGAAAAAATTTATACCCATTGAAAGATCTTGTCACAATTTGTACACATTTAAAGTATGAAATTCATAACACCATATGTTAAAAAGCTACTGTAAAATCACTTTTTATTCGCGATAATTTATTTTTCGAGTTATTATGCGAGTCTATTTGCTGGCCAATATTTATTCTCGCCTATATTTGTATAAAAAAAATTTTTAAACAACAGAAACCACAGGTCACGAAAATTTTGTCTCGCTTTATATGTTAAATAGAAAACTCGCGAAAATATAGTGAACTACAGTATGGCAAAAGTTAAAGTTTGGTAACTTTTGCAAAAGTGGGTCAAACTCCAAAATTAAGAGGTCAAAAATGTTAAAAGGTCTTGTCACAAGAAATACGCATATAAGTTATGAAAGTCATAAATTCAGCTAATCAGAAGTTTTGGGCAAGGTTAAAGTTTTTGCGGAAAAATAGACGAATGGAAAAAATTAAACAGTCGGATTGACGGGTGAAAACTATTTACCCCGAATCTTCGTTTTCGAGGCATAAAATTTTTATTTTGCATCTTTAAATCTGTCACAATTTTTTTTTTTTACAGAATCACCTAAATATATGAGTGATATTCAAATGAACATCAAGAGCCAAAGAATCATCAACCAAACCTTGGATTTCGGCACAACTATTGAACTCGTGTGTGAAGGGGACATCACGATGTGGGATTCTAAGCTGCAGGTCTTTTCATACACACTTCAAAAATAAAAGAATTATCTCTTTAGAGTTTAGACGATATATTTTTCTTTTAAATAATTGTCGGAATAGGAACCTAATGAAAGAACATATTTTTCATAAATACACCAAAGTAAACATAAAAAAATGACATCTCACCCACAAAGACACCGAAAGAGGGGGACCATAATTCTTTCAATTTGCTTGTCTTACTTTTTATGAACATGGACGAATTAGGAATCGAGGGTTTTATTTAAAAGTGCATTATTTAGATCAAAGTTTGTTTAATTAATTAAATGGTATGGAATTATGAAAACAAAAATTTTCTACTTAAAATCACATCGGCAACTATTATTTTGTAGTAAAAAAGGGGTTTTCTTTTGGAAAGCACCTCAATGCTAATCTGAGATTGAACTATTATTTTGTAGTAAAAAAGGGGTTTTCTTTTGGAAAGCACCTCAATGCTAATCTGAGATTCCTCTGACTTTAACCCCTGTAAAAGTCACAATATAAAAGCAGGGGTTAGAGTCAGAGGAATCTCGGATTACTCAATGCTTACAGATAAATTAATGAGAGGAAATGGTACTTTTTTGCATTTTAAGATAATAAAAAGTTACAAATAACGTTGATTTATGCCCTTGCGATCGTTATCTAGGATTCGGGACATACTGGTATACAGTAGTTTTTGCTGTGTTCGTCCGTCTGTTTAATTTGTTTGTAAAAACTTTTCTTTCGCCATTATTTAATTGCTTAGAGTTATTGCTTTCGTATTTCAAAGTGTATTTATTGAGAAAATACCTATACAATAAGAATAACAAGATATCTGACATCTTAAATTTGGACTTTGATCCACTTTTGCAAAATATTTCAAAACTTTAACCTTGGCCATTATTTTCTTTTGAAAAGTTGGAGATAGGGCTTTCTTACTTCACATATGAACTAGTTTAGTATTCCCTGTGAAAAGATCCTCTCTTGGGATCCAACCACTTTGACCTTGGAGTTTGACCTATTTTTCGAAAAAACTTTAACCTCGGCTTTAACTTTTGAACGTTTGGATCTAGGACTTTCGTAATTCTCGTGTGAATTTCTTGTATACTTGTTTCTTCAATGAATAGAAATACATTATATAGTGAAAAAAAATGAAATTATGACTCATTGCCAGGCACTGTACTATACGGATGTAGATTCTGATATACGTTTAATGTACATATTTTAAGCCGAGTTTCTTTTCCGAAGAACATCCCTTTGAACACTAGCAGGGACCTATATATGTACTAGTATATAGGTCCCTGACACTATTGATGGTTTGCTGGCTTTTGACAACTACAGCAAAAATATCGTTGGTCTTTTATATCAAAAAGTTTGTGGACTAGCGTAATAAAATAAAAACCGCTTAAGGTACATCGATGAATTTTAAAATATCTAGTTAGCATCATCTTTTCTATGTAAAGAATAAACCATCAATCATAAATTCTATTTTTTAATAAATAAGTTATGTTTTTGTAAGCAATAGTATGTCCAGGCGGCAAAACCTCGAAGACGACGTTTTTGCGACCTATGTGTAACTGAGTAAAACTCTTTTAATATGATCATTTGACATCCAAAAATTACGTTAATTCGGGTATGTGTCGGGACACAATTGTTCAATAAAATATGAAATTTTCACTTCATTCTTGAAGTTCTATGAAATTTTATCGTAAATTTTCCACGGAATGTCGAAACAAATGAGGCCTTGAAATGACATCAAAAGGGGGGAAGGGTTTCTGTTTCCAACATTCTATAAATTTTTGCCCCTGAAAAAAACTGGTATAAACCTAAAATATGTTGAAACTGGCTACAGTACATAATATGCATCCAGAATACTTGTCTTTTAATGTCAAAATAGATTCAGAGAAAAAAGGGATACACAATTAATGTCGATTTGCAGTCAAGGTGTGAAAAATCAATCACGTCAAAAAATGACGTTGATTGTGTGCTGTAGATATTGAACTCCCAAAAGCAAAATATGCCAGCAAGTGCACAATCAAGCGCAGATCTCTCCCAATGTATTAATCCATTTGGAATATTATATTCATTGAAGGCCTCTGTTCATGACATTGAAGAGTCATATAAACAAGACGGGTTTAAGTCCTTACTCAGCTCTAAGGAATCTCATCAGAACAGTGTATGAAGTAGAAGAAGCGGACATTGAAAAAACGATGACGTTATCGGACGTCATGAAAATAACGACGACAGCGCCGGGTGATCATATCATGTCGTTTTCTTTTTATAATAATTTGGCAAATAATGAACGTATCAGGCTAAAATTTTCAGCATTTTTTGATATTTTGTTGTTTTATGTTCTATATAAATTTTGAACGCACAGGCTACATAGTACTAAATTTATAGCCTTAATCCACGAACTTTTTGATAACCCCTCGTACTGAGCAAAATAAGTTTAGCAATTAAAGGTATTTAATATATCAAGTAGAAAACAGTAGACCAATAATTAATAATGCATTTGAAATGTTAAATTTTCTTCGTATAACAAAGAAAAGGCAATATTTTTGTTGAATCCAAGATGATTGGTGTGTGCCTTTGCGATGCGTGATTGCTGATGACGTTGAGTAAGTGATATTGCTTTGAGAGGTCTTTGAGCTCGAAAAATGGCTTAACGTAGCCTGTTTCCTACAAATTGTCCGCATAACCTCACTCCAGTAAAACGGCATAACTCTTCTGCAACTTAAGGAGCAGCCATAAAACTGTAACGTCTCGACGTTGTAACAGTTAAACGATCATTGCTAACCGTCGTTTTTCGTGGACGTTCTAAGCGCTGGCGATTGATTACGTGTTCAGTCGTTCGGAATCAGTTCGATAGTCGACATCTGGTGGACTGTTGCAAGAAAAAGTGTTCAGCGACATCTTTTTATGAGCAACCAATTGTTAGCATCCCTATAGTCCTTTAACGTTCATTTTCGGAAAGTCCTGGTGTTTTTGTCATTAGACGTTTTTGCAGTTTTTCACCGGTTTTCTTTTACAAGCATGTTAAGAATTTTTTTTTGGTAAAAAATTGTTCCCGGACCATGTGCGTTCGAGCGTAACCTTTTGTTTTATTGAATTGTCACAACGTTGGATGATGCGGTTTCTGCGTGTCAAATTAAAAAAAAGATTTCTGTCTTTTGTTATCTTTATCTCTATTGTTTTTAAGAAGAAGCATAATAGAACAATTAAGAAAAATATTTTTAAATCATACATACGGGAAAGCAATTGCTAAACTTATTTTGCTCAGTATATATACATGTATGACTAATCTTTTCAATAAAGAGGAAAACAACATAACATACTATAAAATCTATTTCAGAACATTCGCTGGTGCCTTAAAATAGGAGGTTATGGTACTTTTACTCCATGGGTAGCACATATCAAAACCATAAACATTACATCAAAGAGCTGTTACAAAATGCAGAGAAGCATCATAACATACACTGTTGAAATAGTCAATGGAACGACCGAATTCATTTGCGAGTCTGGATACACGACCATGTGTGGCACAGGAAGTGCAATAGCTCATATGACCGTTTTATCTGGTAAGTCTATTTCCACAGGCAAAAATAGCCAGGAAAAAGTCAGATTTTTCGGACTATTGTTTTCTATATGTTAAATATCCAACTGTAATGTTGATTAATTTTATAGAGTCCTTATCATACACAGAGAAAGTTTATTCTCTCTCATCAACACCCTCTAATTTAATCTAATGTATATTGTGTATTAATGTTTATCTAGCAAAGTCAACGGAGCCAACAAAGCCACAGTTCCACGAAAGAGCTGCTCCATTTCCATTCTTCTACATATCATTATCAATGTTAACAAGTTCATTGGTGGTGGTAATAGGCATCATGATAGTGTGTGTAATAAAATGGAAGATTTCAAGAGGTATGTAAACTTAAAAACATCATGATATTGTACCAGAAAACAATGAGATTTTTTCTACTCTGTTATCAACTATTTTCTTTTTTCCATTTCTAGCTTCACTCAAAGGAAACATAAGGTTTGAAAAAATCTCTATAAAAATATCATTTAAAATTATATATACAGCAATTTCAATTTACATAACTAATTTTTTTAATAACAATACTGATGCAAATTTTTGTATGTACTATTTAAAATAAAAACTAATTTGGCAGATCTGAGTCATACAAACAGAAAAGAGCCCAAACAAATACTACACAGTTTGGTGAGTTTTATTATACATCAATTAAAAATTACTCCCAAGTTGCATTTTAACAAATGTCAAAAGCACCTCATTTAATTAATATTTATTTCTCCGACTATTAATAATTTCAGGATCTGGTGATGACTAGTAAGTAAACTCTTATTAATATTTTTTTTTCATTTCATTGATTTTATTCAAGTCTTCTGCACCTTTTAATGAATTCTTTTATAGAAAACATTTATTCATTTATTTTAAAGGTAGCCTAGGACAATATCCATCTAATCATCCTATTCAGTAGATCTTTTAATAATATATAAATTTAATGTGTATTAATGAATACAAGGTATCTTAATCTTTAAGTCTCCAACCAATATCAACGAGAAGAGAGAATTTCCATGAATATGAAATGATTGTGGGATACACTGATGCCACATCAGACAACAAAAAGAAAACATCCAGATGTCAGATTCTTTAACAGAAAGTCTTGTTCCTTTACATCACTTTCAGGATCTATTTGTGAATGGATAATGATTATGCATATTTGTTTTTGATGTAAATTGTCTCTGGTTGCACTGGCCCGTCAATCAAATCTTCCTCCACCCCCTGAAGACACCATTGGTGGTTACAGACCTCTAGCGCCTCCCACTCCGCTTTGAAGGCTTTCATTGGATCAGGAGGAGTCATCATTCCCGCCCCCGACATCTGCTCCTGCATGGCTTTGGTCTGATCAGCCGCTGTAAAAATAATCATCAGTAGTGAATGGAAGACCATGCTGAGTAATGAACTGATGGAGACATCTATAAGCATTTTCTTAGAAAAATTGCAAAACCACAAATAAAGATTTTTCTTTAAGTTTACTTTAAAATGAACAATGTACATATCTTAATTCTATATATGATGATAATGTAAATATTTTACAGAAAAAATCTTGTTTTTCCTGTATATTTGTCTTTCCTTAATTTCGTTATTAAAAAACAATTTTTTTTCTATACATGTATATATTTTTTTTTGTTTTTGTAATTTGCAGACAACATTGCGATGCAACTTACAATTATCCTGTCCTAATATAAGCGTATATAAACTTCTCAATCCAAAGACATTGAGGAAATACCAGGATGCTGAACTGACCCTTAAAAATAAAATTCAAATCATATTTTAGCAAAAAGTTGCATACATGCAACAACAATATAACTTTAAAATTGACAGAGTTGCAAATTTTTAAGTCATTTTATCAAATAAAATGAAATGCTGTGAAATCTTATATGTATAAATTTAATGAAGAAATTTAACTCAAGGTCATCTCACCATGAAGCGTCTAATGATGCCAGCTCTACCCCTCTCTGTAACATGGGCTTAAATCGTAGAGTGAGTGGAAATGGAACTTTGGCTATAGTAAAATACAAACAAAGTATATGTCAACCTTATCTTTTGTAACGGTAAAGTTTAAAAGAATTTTACCTATTACTTACTTTTATCTATGTTTGATTTGACCAACTTAAACATCCATTTTTATGTATGGTAACAGTTGATTGATTGATTGATTGATTGTATGTTGTTTAATGTCCCTCTCGAGAATTTTTCACTCATATGGAGACGCCACCACTTGCCGGTGGAGGGCTACAAATTTTGTCCTATGCTCGGCACTCAGGGCCTTTGAGCAGTGAGGGATCTTTTACGTGCCAGCACCTACTGCGACACGGGGCCTCGGTTTATACGGTCTCATCCGAAGGACCGGTCTCCACGTCCCACAGTGGGATTCGAACCCGCGACGTAAGGATTGACTCCTTACTTCGCGACTCTAGAGCAGACGCTCTAACCACTGCGCCACGCGGGCAACTGGTAACAGTTGATAAGAGGTATTTATTAATACAAAATATGAATGTTCTACTTAAGGTATTTATTAATTCAAAAATAAATGTTGCACTTAAGGTATTTATTAATTCAAATTATAACCAGAGTACTTACTTGTTAAGAACCCTGAGAATGCCCAGTTAATCCATCCTCCTATAATGATCATAGGTAACACATTGGTGACATTTCCCTTCAGCATGTCTGTCATCATTGAGGGATCTACAAATAAAGAGAAAAGTAAGCATGTCTGAAATAAAAAATCTGGAAGCCTGTGCTTATTGTTGTACATTATCCTCATCACTACAAGTACATGTATTACACATGTACATGAGAATCACACTTTTTTGTAAGCCAGCAGACAGATGTGTAGTTCTGCAAAAATTAAGTTCTCACACAGAAGAGGAATCTAAAGTAAGTATATGTAGTGGAATTTTGACAAAGGCTAAAATCATCATTTACTTTAAAATTTATCTATCCTCAATCCTTTCATTCTACATTTTTCTAAAAAAAATTCCACTCAATTTCATCTTCACTTGTTACTAGATTTCAGAACTACCGGTAAACTAAATAAACATGTAAAAGAATTGCAATCCAATTCCATTACCCTTGAAAATCATTTGAAAATTGATCTATATGAACTACTTTCAAATCACTCAAATGTATTGCTAAAGGATTGTTTCCACCTATTTATTTTTAAATGCCATCTTTTGGGCATACCATTTCTAGATGTTAGGACTGATTTTAATCCAAGATAATAACAAACTACTTTGTACCTGTCATTGGATTTTTGGCAGTAGATTCCCTCTTTTCTGTTTTAAAATATCCTGAATTTTCTGCATTAAAAAAGCTTTTTCTCATTAAAAACCCCTGCAAAAAAAAAGATTTAATAAAGACTGTACAAATTAAAAAGATTGCAATCATCATGCTTCTTTCCTTTTACATCGATTGTAGGCTGTAGCTTCCGATATCTTTTTAATTTTGGATTCAATTTTAAATTTACAAAATATTATATGAACTTTGTACCTGTTTTGTAATGAATTTTCCATTTTCTCTTAAGATTCTGCTCCTTATCAACACATGACTGAAAAAAGATTCACTTGTCATTTTAAAATTATAAGCATGATAAGTATGGATCATGATGACAATTACAGATCTATACAGGACTCTTTCTTATCTTAAGCTTTTCTATGCACAAATAATGTCCCAACCTGTACATTTTTACCCTGTTGTCAACAGATAAAATCAGGGTTCGAAATTAACTCATGTCCGTAAGTCCGAGACAAGTAAAAATTGTGTCGGACTAGCAGACTTTGTAAGGTACTAGTCCGTACGGACTAGTGAAAATCCGGATATAAGTCTTGAATCGGTTCACATTTTATTAATTTTATTTCCGAGTCTCTTAGATGTTTGAAAATAACCGAGAAACGCAACCGCGATAAAGCGTTTTCTAGATTGTGATCAATTGACAAAGACGTGACCATGAGGAGATTTCTGAAAGTTGAAAACCCTCTTTCTTTCACCACATGCTTCCAACTGATGTGTGGACACATATTTCATTGCATTAATTGATAAAATTTTAAGATTTGTTTTATTCTTTTTACATCCTATAGGGCGGACTAGTGGAATAGTTTGCGGACTAGTGCAAGCTAGAAGTCACTAGTCCGTGCGGACTAGTGCTAAAAAAAGTTAATTTCGAACCCTGTAAAATCATACAGACATTGCAAAAATTTTCTGATACAACTAGTACAATTACCACATAATATCAGCCTGCAAAATCTGTCTGCTAATTAGTTAGCCTTTCTTTGTCGATGCACAGTCCAACTGGTTTAAAACATTTGGTTCAAAACAACTAGTTTAATTGGAAGTGATCCATATTCATTTATTTTAAAGATGGTTCCATGTTCGTTCACCCTAAAAATTGTTGGGCTGATTTCCCATTTCAAGGTATTCTATGTAATGAAAATTCAAAAAAATTCTTTAAAAATTAATTACTGAAAGTCGAGTTCTGAGTTTTTGTCAGTAAATTTACCCATGCATGTAAAGTACTCAAACACAACCAAATCAGTAGAAAAACGTGCCGTGTGAGGAGACGTTATTTTATGCCTTCTTTTTAATACCAGAGTGTTTTTCATGCACGAGTAGACAACAGGTTGGGCACACTCCCCCAAATGGTCATTTAACCCCCGTTTGGTGGTCAATCGCCCATATCAGCGTCTTTATTAACCATCAAATGGGAGAGAAAAATCGTTTTGTTCAGTTCTCTGGAATGACGTGAAATGGCGCATAATTTCAACTCATGGGGAATAAAACATAGATATTTTTCTAAACTTTGAACAAAAAAAATCAGAATTTCAACGCGGGTATTTTTGCGCAGTGTTGTTCAAATATTTGACAAAATCGTCACCTATGTAAACAAGTGTAACGTTTCTGTGTTTTAACTTAAAAAGAAAAATTCCCTCCATCTCGTGCGTAGTTGCACCTATCAATCGTGTTTATCACTTCATATTTCTGCCATCCGGGCAACCAATCAATTATCTTAACCAATTAAAAATGACGATCTCTTCCGAACTTGGGTCAAAAGACTGATTTAACTATGGAGGCCCATTAATGTTAATTTTCAACAAGTAAAATTAGGGGAAGGGTAAGAATTCGCTTTCATTCCGTTTATTTTGTATGCAATGGTTTTATCTTTTACAAAATTACGATATGCAGTGAATTCATGATAAAATAATCGCTCCAAAACTATAATCTTGGAATAAAAACAAGAATAATTGCAAAATGTCACTTTGTAAATTTTTTATTCAAAAAAATTTAATAAATGTAGTAGATACATCATAGATATGCATACTAAACCACAAAGGGTCGCACAGAAATCGTAACTTCATCCTAAAAGAAAATAAAGAATAAATGTTACATTCAAATGTAGGAAAAAATGAATATTATAGCAATAAGTGCCCACCATACGAATAAGATACAAGGAGCTCATGTTTAACGGGATTTTATAGAGGTTTATATAGTCGCAGATTGAAAGATCATTTATAAAGTTACTTCTCTAGACTAACATCTCTTGTTTAAATATATTTTTTACCGAACTATACACAACAAAATAATTTTTCGTAATGTTTGAGCAAATAGTTCGGCCGTCACGAACAACTATGGGTTTCGTTTTTACGAAGTTCCAAAGAAATTCCACATGGAAAATTGACTAAATTGTATTAAATGGGCGAGGAATATGTTAATCAAAATTCCCCAATGCCTGAGTAAATGCGCTTTTGCTTTATTTTAATAAGAATTGGACTTGAATAAAAAAGACCACCATTTGGTAGGTAAAAAAGACGCCGATATGGGCGATTGACCACCAAACGGGGGTTAAATGACCATTTGGGGGTGTGTGCCCAACCTGGACAAACTGACAAAAACTCAGAACTCGACTTTCAGTAATTAATTTTTAAAGAATTTTTTTGAATTTTCATTACATAGAATACCTTGATCAAGGTATTTTAAATACCTTGATAAAGCTATATAGCTTTATCAAGCTATATACCTTTATCGGGGTATTGTGCTGGACCTGTTAAAGATCACTCTGAAAACTGAGGAAATTCGAGACTATATCATTGCCCGTTCCTGCTTACCTATCAGTAACTTGCTGTAGTTCAGTCTTCTTTTCTGATGATAAAAGTATCGTTACATAGTGTTTTATGATTCCAGTGAAAAATGTGATCAATACAATGGGTAAAAACACCCAAATTCGGATGTCCGAGTCTAAGAGCAACTCGGCCATTTCTATGACCGGAAATGTCACGTTGACGGTAACATGGTCGGTACAATCGGCAATCCTCGGCTGACTCCGCTCCGCTCCATTCAAACCAATATTGGTGGAGGAATACGCAACAGATCCTTACATTTCTCCGCCGGAAACTGCCTTATCACTCATTTCATATTTCGCTCTGCATAACGTTCGTCGAAAATGTTTCTTAATTTATGCAATTCTTTATCGTAAGCAGGTTTTGATTACATCCTCAAGTTAACAGGCTTTGAAAGCAAGAAAAAACTGTTGAGTGTGCCACAAAATAACTCCGATTTCAAATGTATGACATTTGAAAGAAATTCAAATAAGATCACATGACTGAATCAGCAAGATGGTAGATCACCGTTGACATCCGAGGTTATGTGCGAGGTACGAGTCATCCGAGGAACTCCGATTGGCGAGGTACGAGTCATCCGAGGAACTCCGATTGTGGTCGGTAAAGGTTGAATGAGCTAATTTAATATTTTTTTTCAGAATATTTTTTCTTAAAAACAATATTTTTTAGCAAAAATTAAAGATGGATTTAGAAACTTGAAAGATTTAGAGTAAATTCTGATTGTCGTAAAACAAGGGAAATTACTCTGAATTTACTTTTGATACCAGCATGTGTGATGCAAGCATCCCATCAAAAGTTGAACAGTATGAGCAGTTTCTAAATGAAAGATTGAAGACAGACCTAAGGTAATGTAAATGCTAAATGTTAGTCTATAGAAGAACGATAAATATTTAATTTTGAATGAAATTAACGTATATAAGTCAGTTAATTTATCACATGATGTTAATAACAGAAAGTGCCAGAAAACCTGGTAATCAGTTGTAGGCAAATGAACATACTTTTTTTCTATTTTCAGTCAAGTATTAGATCAGAGAGACAAATTATATGGAGAAGTGGCAGAATATTTACAGCTAAAGACTGTCATCGAAAGAGTAAAGGTACATGTCCACTGATGTATGCTGAACACTGAACAGCTGAACAAACTCTTATTGCATAAGTATAGAGAGATTGTGAAGGGAAACATCAGTATTTGTCCAGCTTAATTGTCCAAAAGATTTTGTATACATGTCCTACATGTAGCAGGATTTTCTAAACCTCTCATGCCTTAATTTACTGTCCCGATTGGACACAATGTATGAGAATGCAAACTCAAAGCGCACCCCGGGTTTTCCTTCTGGGATAAAATTTGCTTTCGGATTCGATTGGGATCCACTAGGGTTGACACCAAGTAAACCCAAAGTGCACTGAAGAAGCACCCAGAGCAGTCCCAAAATTTCTGTAAGCAGACCCTGAGCAAAGCCAGGAAGCGAACTCAGCATGCGCTTTGGGTTTGCATGCTCTCAGGTATAGTTGTGTCTGGTTGGAACTAATACATTGGTCTAAACAAAGCTGTCTTATAATTCAACTTGACAGAAATTAGTTGAACCTTGGTCATGACCATTGCATTATTATTCAGGTAGTCTAACCACTGAGCTATCCAGGCTGATACAGTGATACATGTGATCCATATAGCCCGAAACACTATAAAGATGAAGAGAAAATTACTTAAAAGTTAAAAAACGATACATGTACTTTATTCCAAATGGATGATCAGGGCTTTTGATTGCCTATATTATCAGGGACCATCCAAAGTTTTAAAAAATGCATAATGTACGAGTATTTTAATTGCTTGGGTTTTTTTAAATTATTTTAATCAATAATCCTGTGCAATTTATTATTTTCTTTGTTTCAGGAGTCAGATTACAAAGCAGAAGGTTTGAAAACCCAAGTGGATCTAGGTTGTAACTTCTATGTACAAGCACATGTGTAGGTGTGACAGATTTTTTTTTTTTTTTTTTTTTTTTGCGAAGTGCTAAGGGATAAACGCAGAGTTAAATTTGGTAATCTGTAATTCTTTGTGATAAATGACTGTAGAGACACTTTTTGAAAATCAATTGACTATTTTGAATTTTATTTTCCCTTTAGTCCAGATGCCTCCATGATTTTTGTGAGCGTGGGTTATGGATTTTTCCTGGAAATGACACATGATGAGGCGCTGAGCTTTATTGACAAGAAAGTCTCCATAATAAACGACAAGATAGACGTTTTCACCAAAGACGCTGCCAAAATAAAGGCCCATATTAAGCTTGTTTTACAGGTAAGCTAACCATTGTGATCTGTGTAAGCGGAATTTCTAGTGGGGATTTAATTTTGGCATTACATGTATAAGCAGAGGTGCAAATATCACTAAAATTGAATATCACTGAAAATTAATTGTTTTTTTTTTTTTGTTTTTTTTTTTGTAAAAACTTCTTTGGTGAGCATTCTAAAATTGCTAAAATAACATTTTGCTGTAAATAAAATACCAGCTTTTATGGACAAATCACTTAATTTGCGTCTCGCTACAATTTCCACTTGTACAGTATGTGTGTATAGTCTTGAAACAAATGGAAAGAAAAAAGAAAAGGTATATTTACTTCTTTCTGGGTTCTGGCTGTTGGCTGAATATTTCTGTCATCATGTGTTTTTCAGGGTTTACAAGAGATACAGAATCTAGATTTTGAAACAGAAAAACCTTATAGAGATGTGTTAAGTTGAAAGAACACTCCAAGACTTGAAAAGATCTACCCCATGTTAAAGATGACCATGCCTTACGTCTAGAGGCAAGCCATGAAGGCTGATTGGACGAAAGAACAGACATTGATCAAGTCGAAGAGCAATGAATTAACAAAAGATTGTATGGAAAGTCATATCTTTATTCCATTTTCCTGAAGCAAATGAAAAGTTATTAAAGTTGATTTCAGTTACAATGTTTTGCATGGTTTCTCAATTTGCATCTTTAAAAAAAACAAATTTTACTTAAAAAAAGATTGGGTCATATAAAGGATTCATCCATTACTCCAACCCATAAATCATCCTTTAGTAACTGCAGTGTACATTTACCCTGAGTTTGAAATACTATTAACTCAGTATTAAAGTATAATATTGGTTATAGCCTGAAAGCTAATAGTGGAAATAGATTTGGAAGCCATATCTTAATGTACTTTTCAGAATTGCAACTGCAAACCCAAGTTACTCGTACATTAAACCAGTGCAATTTGTTCTCTTTTTTAGCTCTACTGGTCAGAGACCAAAAGAGCATATGCGATAGTAATGCATCTGGCCTCCATCCGTCTGTCTGTAAACAATTTTTCAAAATGCTACTCATCCTACAGATTTGGTCCGATTTCAATATAACTTGGCACACAATTAGACTACACTTAGATATATAATTCTGTGCATTGGTTTTTGATTTCGATGAACGTTGTTGCCATGGTTACTAAAAATAGAAATTTCTTTGAAATTCTTTCAAAATACTACTCCTCCTACAGTTTTGGTCTGATTTCAATATAACTTGGCACACAAGTAGACTACACTAAGATACATAATTCTATGCATATATTTTTGATTTCGACGAACGGTGTTGCCGAGGTTAATAAAAATAGAAATTTCTGTGAAATTCTTTCAAAATGTTACTCCTCCTACAGTTTTGGTCCGATTTCAATATAACTTGGCACACAATTAGACTACACTAAGATACATACATGTAATTCTGTGCATCAGTTTTTGATTTCGATGAACGTTGTTGCCATGGTTACTAAAAATAGAAATTTCTGTAAAATTGTTTCAAAATGCTACTCCTCCTACAGTTTTGGCCTGATTTCAATATAACTTGGCACACAAGTAGACTACACTAAGATACATAATTCTATGCATAGGTTTTTGATTTCAATGAACGGTGTTGCCGAGGTTAATAAAAATAGAAATTTCTGTGAAATTCTTTCAAAATGCTACTCCTCCTACAGTTTTGGTCCGATTTCAATATAACTTGGCACACAATTAGACTACACTAAGATACATATAATTCTGTGCATCGGTTTTTAGCTCACCTGAGCTGAAAGCTCAAGTGAGCTTTTCTGATCACATTTTGTCCGGCGTCTGTCTGTCTGTCCGTCTGTCTTTCTGTAAACTTTTCACATTTTCGACTTCTTCTCAAGAACCGCTGGGCCAATTTCAACCAAACTTGCCACAAAGTATCCTTGGGTGAAGGGGATTCGAGTTTGTTCAAATGAAGGGCCACGCCTTCATTCAAGGGGAGATAGTTGGGAATTAATGAAAATTTGGTGGCGTATTTTAAAAATCTTCTTCTCAAGAACCACTGTGCCAGGAAAGATGAAACTTATGGGGAAACATCCTCAGGTAGTGTAGATTCAAGTTTGTTCAAATCATGACCCCCGGGGGTAGGGCGGGGCCAAAATGGCCGACCAAAGTTTTACATAGAAATATATAGGAAAATTCTTAAAACATCTTCTTCTCAAGAATGACAAAGCCATAATTCATCATATTCATATGGAAGCATGCTCAGGTAGTGTAGATTCAAGTTTGTTCAAACCATGACCCCCGGGGGTAGGGCGAGGCCAAAATGGCCGACCAAAGTTTTACATAGAAATATATAGAAAAATTCTTTCAAAATCTTCTTCTCAAGAATGATAAAGCCATAATTCATCATATTTATATGGAAGCATGCTCAGGTAGTGTAGATTCAAGTTTGTTTAAATCATAACCCCCGGGGGTAGGGCGGGGCCAAAATGGCCGACCAAAGTTTAACATAGAAATATAAAGGAAAATTCTTTAAAAATCTTCTTCTCAAAAATGACAAAGCCATAATTCATCTTATTTATATGGAAGCATTCTCAGGTAGTGTAGATTCAAGTTTGTTCAAATCATGACCCCCGGGGGTAAGGCGGGGCCAAAATGGCCGACCAAAGTTTTACATAGAAATATATAGGAAAATTCTTTAAAAATCTTCTTCTCAAGAATGACAAAGCCATGATTCATCATATATATATGGAAGCATGCTCAGGTAGTGTAGATTCAAGTTTGTTCAAATCATGACCCCCGGGGGTAGGGCGGGGCCAAAATGGCCGACCAAAATTTTACATAGAAATATATAGGAAAATTCTTAAAACATCTTCTTCTCAAGAATGACAAAGCCATAATTCATCATATTCATATGGAAGCATGCTCAGGTAGTGTAGATTCAAGTTTGTTCAAATCATGACCCCCGGGGGTAGGGCGGGGCCAAAATGGCCGACCAAAGTTTTACATAGAAATATATAGGAAAATTCTTTAAAAATCTTCTTCTCAAGAATGACAAAGCCATAATTCACCATATTTATATGGAAGCATGCTCAGGTAGTGTAGATTCACGTTTGTTCAAATCATGACCCCCGGGGGTAGGGCAGGGCCAAAATGGCCGACCAAAGTTTAACATAGAAATATATAGGAAAATTCTTTAAAAATCTTCTTCTCAAGAATGACAAAGCCATAATTCATCTTATTTATATGGAAGCATTCTCAGGTAGTGTAGATTCAAGTTTGTTCAAATCATGACCCCCGGGGGTAAGGCGGGGCCAAAATGGCCGACCAAAGTTTAACATAGAAATATATAGGAAAATTCTTTAAAAATCTTCTTCTCAAGAATGACAAAGCCATAATTCATCTTATTTATATGGAAGCATTCTCAGGTAGTGTAGATTCAAGTTTGTTCAAATCATGACCCCCGGGGGTAAGGCGGGGCCAAAATGGCCGACCAAAGTTTTACATAGAAATATATAGGAAAATTCTTTAAAAATCTTCTTCTCAAGAATGACAAAGCCATAATTCATCATATATATATGGAAGCATGCTCAGGTAGCGTAGATTCAAGTTTGTTCAAATCATGACCCCCGGGGGTAGGGCGGGGCCAAAATGGCCGACCAAAATTTTACATAGAAATATATAGGAAAATTCTTAAAACATCTTCTTCTCAAGAATGACAAAGCCATAATTCATCATATTCATATGGAAGCATCCTCAGGTAGTGTAGATTCAAGTTTGTTCAAATCATGACCCCCGGGGGTAGGGCGGGGCCAAAATGGCCGACCAAAGTTTAACATAGAAATATATAGGAAAATTCTTTAAAAATCTTCTTCTCAAGAATGATAAAGCCATAATTCACCATATTTATATGGAAGCATTCTCAGGTAGTGTAGATTCAAGTTTGTTCAAATCATGACCCCCGGGGGTAGGGCGGGGCCAAAATGGCCGACCAAAGTTTAACATAGAAATATATAGGAAAATTCTTTAAAAATCTTCTTCTCAAGAATGACAAAGCCATAATTCATCTTATTTATATGGAAGCATTCTCAGGTAGTGTAGATTCAAGTTTGTTCAAATCATGACCCCCGGGGGTAAGGCGGGGCCAAAATGGCCGACCAATTTAGTTTTACATAGAAATATATAGGAAAATTCTTTAAAAATCATCTTCTCAAGAATGACAAAGCCATAATTCATCATATTTATATGGAAGCATGCTCAGGTATTGTAGATTCAAGTTTGTTCAAATCATGACCCCCATGGGTAAGGTGGGGCCAAAATGGCCGACGAAATTTTTTAAAGATATATATAGGAAAATTCTTTAAAAATCATTTAAAAAATAGCAAATCCATGATTGGTTATAGGACTACTTTTGGATATAAACTTTACAATAAAAAGCCATTTTCTACTTTTTCCAACCCTTAGTGCTCAGGTGAGCGATGTAGCCCATGGGCCTCTTGTTGATTTCGATGAACGTTGTTGCCATGGTTACTAGAGATAAAAATTTCTGTGAAATTCTTTCAAAATGCTACTCCTTCTACAGTTTTGGCCTGATTTCAATATAACTTTGCATACAAGTAGACTACACTAAGATACATAATTTTCTGCATCGGTTTTAAGGATCATTTTAGTGAGCTTTTCTGATCACATTTTGTCCGTCTGTCCGTCCGTCTGTCTAGCTGTCTGTCTGTAAAGTTTTTAGCTCACCTGAGCCAAGGGCTCAAGTGAGCTTTTCTAATCACATTTTGTCCGTCGTCCGTCCGTCTGTCTGTCTGTCTGTCTGTAAACTTTTCACATTTTCGACTTCTTCTCAAGAACCACTGGGCCAATTTTGACCAAACTTGGTACAAAGCATCCTTGGGTGAAGGGGAATTTAAATTGTTAAAATGAAGGGACATATCCCCTCGCAAGGGGAGATAATCAAGAAAAGACAAAAATAGGGTTGGGTCATTAAAAAATCTTCTTCTCAAGAACCACTGGGCCAGTAAAGCTGAAACTTATGTGGAAGCATCCTGGTATAATGTAGATTCTAAATTGTTCAAATCATGACCCCCGGGGGAAGGGCGGGGCCACAATGGGGAATCAAAGTTTTATATAGAAATATATAGGAAAAATCTTTGAAAATCTTCTTCTCAAGAACCACTGGGCCAGAAAAGCTGAAACTTATGTGGAAGCATCCTGGTATAATGTAGATTCTAAATTGTTCACATCATGACCCCCGGGAGAAGGGCGGGGCCACAATGGGGAATCAAAGTTTTACATAGAAATATATAGGGAAAATCTTTGAAAATCTTCTTCTCAAGAACCACTGGGCCAGAAAAGCTGAAACTTATGTGGAAACATCCTGGTATAATGTAGATTCTAAATTGTTCAAATCATGACCCCCGGGGGAAGGGCGGGGCCACAATGGGGAATCAAAGTTTTATATAGAAATATATAGGAAAAATCTTTGAAAATCTTCTTCTCAAGAACCACTGGGCCAGAAAAAGTGAAGCTTATGTGGAAGCATTCTGGGGTAGTGTAGATTCTAAATTGTAGGAATCATGACCCCCAGGGGAAGGG